ATAGAAATATATAAAGATTTGTTTAGTGTCAACTGACAATGGATGCGATCTTAATGATGGTTTAACATGTTACAATATGTACATAACGACTAAAGTACATGTTGAATATAATATTGTTTGTTAATTTTTGTACAAAATATCTGTCCAATAACAAACAATTTATGCCTAAAAAATGGATATTTTTACTTGGTATGAAATGTTTCTTCTGTAAAAGGGATAAAAAATATTCATCAGAGAAGTACAACTCGTAAGTTTTCGCGAACACTCACTTTAAGTAATCAATTTCTAAAATTTAACATTGTATACTGTTGATTCCGCAGTTCTGTTAAGGCCAATACTTTTTTTATATTTATGTCAAAAGGTCTAGGATAAAATAGGAATTCCGGTTCTTTTCCTTTACACAATTCACGGGGATATTTAATTTCCTTTCTGACATAAGAAAATCCATTCATACAGATCTTTCCCCCCCCCCCCCCATAAAATTAGATTTAAAGAAAAAGTGGTAGTTTTAACATTTTAGGGATAATAGGTTAAAAACTGTGACCCACAAAGGATGAGACTGTACCGTCGACTTAAAATTCTTTAAATATGGCGATCTAACGTTAAATTAAGTCTAATGGTCTTTATGTCGTCTTTAACTAGCTTATTTATTAATTGGCCAAAAACAAGCTTACAGACATGTATGTAATACTTGAAACTTTTTCATTAGCAAAACTCTTCTTAATGTCTAATCTAATTCTTGTAGACAAAAATCTACGTACTAATGTAAACAAATTGTTTGTGCGTCCTCCTTCCTTTTCTAACCAAGTTGGGCGCACAGAACCAATTTTCATCATGAAACAGAGAGATCAGTCTTGGGAAAAATAAACTAAACGCAGAGATTAAATATTTCTTACTACTATAATTGAACTATTATTGTGAATAACACGGATTCCAGTACTTTACAGTTGGTTTCACCATATGTCCTCTTTATGTAAGTATGGTTCTTATGTACACATTATTCATTTTCAAGTAGACATTTCTCAATTATTTTGTTTATTATCATAAACATCTGTATTCTGCATAAATATAAACTTGAATATGTATATACTATTGTATAAGAATAGTATTCAGCTGCCTATACCTTCTACAAAGTGTTTATTCTGAGGGGGACCTATTTAAAATGTAGTTTTTTATGATATCCAATATTGTCCATTTATTTCATCCAACCTGTTACTAATTTGTTGTAAACATAATGTTTCTCAAATCAAGTCATAAGTTAAGAATCTTACTAAAAAAAATGTGCAAATTCACCTTAGCTGTGTGCAAAACTGCACCCTTTTGTATAGACTAAAACAACCGAAAATGGGTCTAAGTAGGGTTTCCATCGAAAAGGGTAAATCGTTTCGCGAAATTTCGCTTTAATCTGTTTCGCGAAAAAATGCGAAAGTTTTGCGAAATAAGAAATGCGAAAATTTTGCGAAAAAAATACGGAAGTGAAATTATCTATTATGAGTTATGATATAATGAAACTTCTAATGCTGAGCCTCAGAGCAGAGAATTCTTTTTTTTGCGCAATTAATTGTTAGAGCTATAATTTTTGTGGAATCTTTTTGGGTAAAATATTTTCGCAAAAACAATTTTGGAAAATTTCGCATCATTTTCGCGAAAATTATATATTCGCAGTATTCTTTACAAGTGATGCAGTTAGTAAAAGCCCCCCAACGAGGATGAAATGATCGAGTACTGAATATTTTTCAGAGCTATCTTTCAGGGTTACAGTTTCATACCGCTCCTATCAAAACACCCCCTCTAACTCTTTCCTCCTCCCCATTATTCCCAACTCGTAAGAATACTTCTTTGGCGCCCCTCCCCCCCCCCTCCCCCTTCTATTTCACTCAGTCAATTTGCGAAGTATATAGATAACTGTGATTACTCAATAAATACTGTCGCCAGACGAACAGATAAACAGACAAATAAATGGCAGACAGGAAAGACAAACGCCCTAAATATTATCTAGATATGTATTGTTAAATATTTAATAGGGGTGGAGCCAGAGCAAGCTAGGAGGAAGGGGGGGGGGAGGGTTACAATAATTAAAAAAAAACTATAATTATTTAAATGGTTGCACTGCAGAATAGTTAAACTAACTTCATACAACATGTTAAAACTATTAATTCACAATGCTTTTTCTAAACCAGAAACCTGCTTACAAAAACAAACTTAAATTTTTCATTTCAAAACTATTAAGTTTAACTATAACTATTTATAGCACTGTTATTTTGGTTCGCAGCGTTATAACGTTTTTGGACAGAAATTTTCTCTTTATCGAGAAGCCTTTTTAGATTGAATTTTGTCCCAAGCTTTAGCGAGGGAAAAAATATAATCTAAAAAGGCGAGAATCATCGAGATACTGAGAAAATTTAAGTCCAAAACTTTATAGCACGTCGTGCCAAAATAAGTGTTATGGGTAATTTTATGAAACGTTTGTGTGCTTGTCTTATTTCAATGGCTATTTCTATAGATTAAATAAGCTTTGAAACAAAGCAGAAGTCAAAATGTAAAGTTTATTTCAATTTAATTTTCATTTCAATTGAAAAAAATATTTTAGAAATATACTAAATTTTTGGAGAATATTCGGGAACCAATCAAAACTTTAAAACACGCGTGCTATAATGTACAGCCAATTTAACTTTATAGCACGATGATCTACTTTATAGTACGTTCATTAAGAAATTCACGATGAAGTGAGGAAGAATGATAAAGTACACAATAATTTCATAAAAATATTAAAGATATTTATATAATAATTATCCTGTTCTCAGGTGACTACGCACGTTGCAAATATAAAAAAACATATAGGAAACATCTTTGTTAAATCAATTGATAACATCATTTTTCAATATATTTTTTTAATCGATAGCATTTTTTAATATTTTTGAAACTATACGATTTTTTCTTAGATTGCAATCTTGATAGACATTTGTGTATTTAAAACAAATTATTTTAATCAATTGATAGAAGAACATTTTTTATTAAAGGTTTTCGGGATGATAGTACAGGGTTACGCACAAAGGATGAGACTTCAGAGACGACTGTACATAATTTATACTGTCTGCATTCCTTATATTCATGATACCCTTCAACTTGTATATTGATACATGATAAGTATACTATTTAAACTTTCTTATTTTACGGATCCACAAAACTTTTATACCAATATTAACTGTGCGTTTACAAGTTGCATGTCGATAGGTGTATCATTTACTCTTCAAAAAAAATAGAACCAATGGAAATTTAAACCCCTGAGGGATTCAATGATAAACTTTGACTTTTTTGTGAGAACTTAAAGCAAGTAATCATTGCCTTTAGTTGCAAATCTGTAAATCGTGTACTTGAATCTTGAATCAATAAATTTTAAATTCGTAAAATTTAAACGAGAGAACAGATTCAAAGATATAAAATAGAAAATGTATTGAAACATATATTAATAGTGAGAAAAAGCAGGCACGGACAATTTTTTTTCGAGAAAAGAGATGTAAACCATTGAAAACCGGGCGGGATTCAATGAAAATGAAAGATTAATACGATATTTCGTGACTTTAAATTTACTTTATGGTAAAAGCAATAAATGCATATATTTAAGATTAAAAAAGATAACTTTTTTTCACGTCAAAATAAAGTAAATTAAACGTAAGTTTGAAATTTTAAAAGCTTTCAATCCTAATTCCTCTCATTGAAGAGCTATTTTTGGAATTTCAAATATGTAATTGTAAAAAATTGCTTCCCATATTTAAACGTAAAATAAAAACTAAAGGATCAAGGTGACAAAGTCGTACTAGTAATGTTGCATATATTTGACCTTCTCCTTCTATCTAGCTTGCAGTAGGTTATTAGCTCATGTTTTACTAACAACGTACATGAATCCTTGTTAACTAAATATAGAAAATTATACATCGATTACTTTTAACTCGCCATGGGATTTTGTAACTTTAAATCACCTTCGCGTCATAATCTAGAGACATTCATGGGCAAACAATCTTAATAAATGTTCAAGTCAGAAAACAAAGTTCCTCTAAAGTCTAAATATAGCTAAGTTTTGTGAATCTTGTAATCATACAGGGTGTCCCAATAAACATGGGAATTCAGTGACGAATTCGATATTGTCTTTTTAAATAATTCTTAGATTTAGTATAGTGATACCTACTGAGAAAGCTGTAATCTGTAAGAGTTTCGTCTGCTATATTCACATTTTGTTTGTTTATGTTTTGACTGCATAAGGGTGTACTTATTAAAACAAGAAAATTACAGTATACAAACAGAGTAAACTTGTCCGTCTTCACTGTTCATCTTGCGAAGACATTATAGACACATCTTTACAGTCTTTTACTCTTTTCATAAAATAAACTCTAGCAGACATAATAATATTATGGGTTTTGAAATTAGGTATTACAATGCTAATTCATAACAAAGACGATGTCGAATTCGTCACTGAATTCCCATGTTTTTTGGGACACCCTGTATAATAAATATATAAATACTTAAGGAGGTTTCGTGATTGTTCAGCTAACCTACAAAATGTAAGAGGTTTCGTAATTTAAAAAGGGGAAATACTGACATTTCGGTAAGCGTAATTTCAAGTGATCCTTCATGCGAAGATAGCAATGGCCGATATCTTAGAAAGATGCTTAATTAAACAGTAATTAGTTAATAGTGTTTATAATTTAAAAAACTGATTATTTTTCAATCCTGAGTTCTTTACAAAAACTTATAGAAATCATCTGATTTTCACACATTTCAAACTTGAAAAACGACGGTATCTCCCACATTCTTTATCAGATAATTGTTTCAAGGGTATCTTTATAAATCAGGAATTGTCATCTTAGCATGAAGGGGCCCTTGACATTACGTTTACAGGTCCTTTAATTGTAATTAATTTGTTTGTGCTTGGTATAATTTTTCCTTTGCTCTCTGTTTTTTTTCTTTACATTCTACATAGCTTTGTTTCACATACACTTGTGTGTTATTATTATCTTTATTTAAAGTTTAATTTGCATTCTCATTTGTTTTTTTTTCACATTCAACATAGTTTTGTTTCACATACACGTGTGTGTTATTATTATCTTTATTTAAAGTTTAATTTGCATTCTCATTTGTTTTTTCTTCACATTCAACATAGTTTTGTTTTACATACACGTGTGTGTTATTATTATCTTTATTTAAAGTTTAATTTGCATTCTCATTTGTTTTTTTCTTGCTCAACATTATCATTCTTCTTTGCATACCCTCTTCCAGAATCCCTGAACATAACAGTTTTAAAATCTTTGTTCATGATAACCTTGAACCGTATTAGTTCTGAAAAAGTTTTAAAACATGACAGTTCTGCAGTATATAATAGTTTATTAAATTGCAAGTTTATATTGAATGCAATTTAAATCGCTCTTTAAAATGTACATTGTATATTGTAAAAACTAAAATAATTATGCAAACAAAAGTATCGAACAAAATTATTGAACATTTTATCATTTATGATTTGTTTGTAAAGGAGTTGAGGTTTTGCCACAAACTCTGATTTTCTAATCTCTTTATCTTTGTAATCCAATGTCGTAGACCTTAGATATTTCAAACTATTAATACTTATAGATAAAATAATCTAAGTTTGAAATATCAAAGGTTTGCACCGTAAGGTTGCAAAGATATTGGGATCAGAAGATTTCAATTTCTTTCACATTGTTGTGATGTAACATTGACATTTTTATCTACAAGGGGGCGCCCATTATGAATGTTAAAATCCTAAAATCGTGTACTAGGTTGACGACTGATACGACTCCACTGAACACAGCAATTGTTCAATTCTTTTCCTTAATACCCAAGCTACTGGGAAAACTATCTGTTCTATAACAAAATTAAATAGACCTAAGATTACTTTAAGACATTTGAAGGATAATGTTTACTTCATATCAGGTTCCATAAAGGATAATGTTTACTTGATATGAGTTTCCAGACATTTAAATGATAATGTTTACTTGATATCAGGTTCCATAAAGGATAATATTTACTTGATATCAGGTTCCATAAAGGATAATATTTACTTGATATCAGGTTCCATAAAGGATAATATTTACTTGATATCAGGTTCCATAAAGGATAATATTTACTTGATATCAGGTTCCATAAAGGATAATATTTACTTGATATCAGGTTCCATAAAGGATAATATTTACTTGATATCAGGTTCCAGACATTTAAATGATAATATTTACTTGATATCAGGTTCCAGACATTTAAAGGATAATATTTACTTGATATCAGGTTCCAGACATTTAAAGGATAATTCTGAGAAAAGGACATTCTTCTGACTGTTCACGTACATTCCAATCTTTCCTCCTGGAATAGGATCAGGATCCTACAAACAAATTGTGACTTTATAAAAAAGAATTTGAAGATTTTATAAAAGTTGCATTTTCTCCTAATTAATAGGATTACAGGATCCAAAAAAAAATTTTGAAAAAAATTTAAGATATCTACAATTAAATATTAGATACTACAATTTAATTTAATATTTGAAATTTTTCAAAAATCCACGATTTTGACAAAAAGCATCAAATAGTGTCTATGCAAAGGTATCATACCTTTGCGCTGAAATTCTAAATGATAAATCGGCTTTTTCTCATGCCACAGTTGTCTTTGAAAAGTAAGACTAATACCCAAATAAGTGAACGGTCCCTTTAAATTAAGTATTTGACCTTAAATGTTGCCTCTCATGCTCTTTATGAATTTTTAAAAACAATATTCTAGAAAACTTGTTTTTTAACCAAAATATATTAGATTCTGTTTTCATCTACAGGGTGTCCCACGAAACATGACAGTTTGTGACTAGTTTTGAATGTCTTCTTCCATGATATACTGTATATTTAAGCTTTTTGCAGTTTATTGCGTTAAAAAAAATTTAACCAAATATATTACTTTTAAATCAATTTTACTGCAATATTACTGCCATATCATATTTCTTATTACTATCATTAGTATTAAACAGATTAACAAATTATGGAAGAAGACATTTTAAACTATTCACCAACTGTCATGTTTCGTGGGACACCCTGTACGTTTCGGGGATTTTTTATTGAAAAAGTATATATATATATAGCTTACTAAAATATCACCGGATTCAATAATAGTTTCACCATCTCTCACCATCTTCAGTTGAATTTTACCCTAAAAAAAAAAAATTTGGAAGCCTGTTTTGGCCTTAGAAGTAATGTAAGCGTAGTTCCAAATGATCCTCCGACTCTATGCAAAGGTACAAATGCCCGATTCACAATGGTACCCATACACGTTTTGTTGATGAAGACTGAATGAAATATCCATGTTTTGAACTTAAGAAATTGATTTTTTAACTTTTGTTTCTCCAAAAAGTGACCGTGTATTTCAGGCTTAGGAACAATAGAAGAAATTGGCAAAATTAAACAATTTTTAATCTAGAAAACCAACTATTTTCCCCACAGATAAAGATTCAAAGGTTACCCTTGTGAATATAGTTATATTATATATACCTGTGTTGGAATATAGTTTATACTCCACTGTATTGGAGTTTATTATATACCTGTTTTGGTATATAGTTTATACTCCACTGAACGGGAGTTTATTATATACCTGTGTTGGTTGGAATATAGTTTATACTCGACTGTATTGGAGTTTATTATATATCTGTGTTGGAATATAGTTTATTCTCCTCTAGATTGGAGTTTATTATATATCTGTGTTGGAATATAGTTTATACTCCACTGTACTGGAGTTTATTATATACCTGTGTTGGAATATAGTTTATACTCCACTGTATTGGAGTTTATTAATATAGTTTATACTCCACTGTATTGGAGTTTATTGTATACCTGTGTTGGAATATAGTTTATACTCCACTGTACTGGAGTTTATTATATACCTGTGTTGAAATATAGTTTATACTCCACTGTATTGGAGTTTATTGTATACCTGTGTTGGAATATAGTTTATACTCCACTGAATTGGAGTTTTCTCTCTCCATTGATGTTTCTTCGCATCCTATAATGGGATCTTCATAAAAATTAAATAGATTGTTACCTATTCAATCTTTCAATTTATCTCAAACATGATTATTTTTACACAATATTTCCTAAAGAGCAGGTATATTATAAAGGACTTGAATCTTAACGTTTTCTAGATATCTCAGAAAATTTAAAGTCTTATTAAAAGAAAATGCAAAATTAATTCAAAACAATGCCTTTCTTTATTTATTTTTGATATCTTTACTTTTTATATACCGAGAAATGCTTGTTGATTAATAACCTTCTACAGATTAATAAAAAGTAATCACTTCCCATTTATGGATAAAAAGTAATTTTCTCCCATATATGAATAAAAAGTAATTACCTCCCATATATGAATAAAAAGTAATTACCTACCATATATGAATAAAAAGTAATTACCTCCCATACATCAATAAAAAGTAATTACCTCCCATACATGAATAAAAAGTAATTACCTCCCATACATGAATAAAAAGTAATTACCTCCCATACATGAATAAAAAGTAGTTACTTCCCACTGATTAATAAAAAGTTATCATCTCCCATAGACTAATAAAAAGTATTCCCCTCCCAATCACTTCCAATAGATTAATAAAAAATTATCACATCCCATAGATTAATAAAAGTTATCATCATCCATAGATTAATAAAAAGGAATCACCTCCCAAAGATTAATAAAAGTTATCATCATCCATAGATTAATAAAAAGGGATCACCTCCAAAACATTAATAAAGTGATCACCTCACATAGATTAATAAAAAGTTATAACCTCCCAAAGATTAATAAAAAATATTACCACCCATAGATTAATAAAATATATCACCTCCCAAAGATTAATAAAAAGTTATCGCCTCCCAAAGATGATTAATAAAATAATATCATGGAGTAAAGGGACTGTAAGCGTAATTTTAAATGATCCTCCATGCAAAGAGAGCAATGCCCGATTTACAACGGTACCTTTTAAACCTTTAACTGTTCATCAAGTAAAGAGAGCTTTATGTTGAAATATCTTAAGAACTACTTGAACTCCCCTAAACCGCGGTGATACACTGTACACTGTACAGTTTAACCTCAACACAGCTGATACGCTATTTATGTACTGGGTGTCCCACGAAACATGACAGTATGCAAGACAACTTGAATGTCGTCTTGATTTTTGATATAATTTGCTGCGTTTATTTGTCAACCTAATTTTAAAAGTAAATTACTAGAGATAATAATCACAAAATTCCCCTAGTCCTGCCATTTCCAAAATGTGGTCTGCCTTTTTTGTGCTTTCAATATTGCCCGAGATATGAAGAATTTCGTTCAGATTTCGACAATTTTGCTTTTATTTGACAAAATTGAAATCTGAATCAAACTCTTTATATCTCCGGTAATATTGAAAGCACAAAAAAACGCAGACCACTTTTTGGAAATGCCAGAGCTAGGAGAATTATGTGAATTGTTTCAAGAATCATACATGTTAAAGTAGATAGAAAAATAAATGTCAAAAATAAATTCAAATATCAAAGACGACTTTCAAGTCGTCTTGCTATTGTCATGTTTCGTGGGACACCCTGTACCTTGATCAGTTGAAAGTTTTAAGGTTACGGTTAAAAATAGGGAATTGTCATCTTTGCATGGAGGGGTCACTTGAAATCACGTATACAGTCCCTTTAATATCATGTAAATACCTCCCACAGATTAACAGCATAATCATCTTTAGAATCCTGTGAGATCATTGCACCCAGAATCTTTTTATAAGCTTGACCATGGTCAGATACATTTCTCATATTAATTTTCTTCACAGACCACCACACTCAAATATAAAAAACTATATTTTTTTTAATTCATCATAAAGTATTTAATTGTTTAAATGTAAACTTACTTGCACCGGAACCCTGTGTGGATAAAATGTCAACAAAATGTCATCAAGTTTCGTTCATAAATTGAGGGGTAAAAAATGAAAAAATCTCTTGTACAAAGTAAATACTACTTTATCGACTTAAATTATTTAAACTTAAAAATTGACATTTTCCTTTATGTCTTATCGAAAATTCAGGGTTTACAACTATTTTAAAGAAATTATTAGAATATGAAATAATGATATTTGTGCAATGTACAGTGTTACCCACAAAGGATGATAAATTAATAACCCCTTAAATATGACGATCTAAAGGATTTAATTGATTCTCGGCCTTAAATATAATTTGACAAAAAGAAACAATAGGTTAACAATGCAAAGAATCATTTTTGCAAGCAAAAAATATTGAATGAATTCCGTAGTCGTTATAATTAGTGGGTAACCGTTTTTGTTAATATCAACCTTGGTTTATATAATGTACAGAATGTCCCAAGAAACATGACAGTTGGTGAATAGTTTTGAAGGTCTTCTTTTTTATATAATAATGACTTTTTGCAGTTTATTTTGCTTTGATATCAACTTTATTATAATAATACTACCAAGTGATGTACTTTTATTATTCTCTTTGGTATTAAATAACTTAACAAATCATGGAAGAAGAAATTTAAAACTATTCACCAACTGTCATGTTTCCTGGGACACCCTGTATAAAAGATCTTAGCATAATTTTTAAAAAAAATATTGTGTAAACCCGAATTCCTAATGGATGTTTGTTGGCAATAATTATATAAAAGTTGAACACATTTTTAAATCCAAACACAATGCCAAGCTAAAATAATAAAGTTAATCCAACTTATTTAAATGTTGCAATAAATAGTAACCTAGATCAATATGTTGTACATTATCCGTAAATCTAACTGCACTTATAACCTAACATAGATACATATATATATATTATATAACACCGTTGAACTCATATTGTGATTAGCTTAACTACGTTTTTATATAATGATGCAAAACTTGTAAATTACGTCTATTAAACTTAATCTGTAATCTAGAATCCAAAATATATTCAGTTGAAACAGACTCTTGAAGGATTAACAAGCAAGAGTAATTATTCCTGGTTTAGCGAACGAGAAACCCCAAGCTTGAGTCCGAGTTGATGCATTGATGGTTTATAAGATCATGTCCTAGTTGATGCATTGATGGTTTATAAGATCATGTCCGAGTTGATGCATTGATGGTTTATAAGATAATGTCCGAGTTGAGGCATTGATGGTTTATAAGATCATGTCCGAGTTGAGGCATTGATGGTTTATAAGATCATGTCCGAGTTGAGGCATTGATAGTTTATAAGATCATGTCGAAGTTGAGGCACTGATAGTTTACAAGATCATGTCCGAGTTGATGCATTGATGGTTTATAAGATCATGTCCAAGTTGAGGCATTGATAGTTTATAAGATCATGTTCGCGTTGAAGCACTGATAGTTTACAAGATTGTGTCCTAGTTGAGGCATTGATAGTTTATAAGATTGTGTCCTAACTGAAGCATTGATAGAATACAAGATTGTGTCCGAGTTGAGGTATTGATAGTTTACAAGATTGTGTCCGAGTTGAGGCATTGATAGTTTACAAGGTTGTGTCCGAGTTGAGGCATTGATAATTTCCAAGGTTGTGTCTAAGTTGAGGCATTGATAATTAGCAAGGTTGTGTCCGAGTTGAGACATTGATAGTTTACAAGGTTGTGTCCGAGTTGAGGCATTGATAGTTTACAAGGTTGTGTCCGAGTTGAGGCATTGATAATTTATAAGATCATGTCCTAGTTGAGGTATTGATAGTTTACAAGGTTGTGTCCCAGTTGAGGCATTGATAGTTTACAAGATTGTGTCCAAGTTGAGGCATTGATAGTTTATAAGATCATGTTCGAGTTGAAGCACTGATATTTTACAAGATTGTGTCCTAGTTGAGGCATTGATAGTTTATAAGATTGTGTCCTAACTGAAGCATTGATAGAATACAAGATTGTGTCCGAGTTGAGGCATTGATAGTTTATAAGATTGTGTCCGAGTTGAGGCATTGATAGTTTACAAGGTTGTGTCCGAGTTGAGGCATTGATAATTTCCAAGGTTGTGTCTAAGTTGAGGCATTGATAATTAGCAAGGTTGTGTCCGAGTTGAGACATTGATAGTTTACAAGGTTGTGTCCGAGTTGAGGCATTGATAGTTTACAAGGTTGTGTCCGAGTTGAGGCATTGATAATTTATAAGATCATGTCCTAGTTGAGGTATTGATAGTTTACAAGGTTGTGTCCCAGTTGAGGCATTGATAGTTTACAAGGTTGTGTCCGAGTTGAGGCATTGATAGTTTATAAGATCATGTCCTAGTTGAGGCATTGATAGTTTATAAGATCATGTCGAAGTTGAGGCACTGATAGTTTACAAGATCGTGTCACAGTTGATGCATTGATGGTTTATAAAATCGTGTTCGAGTTGAAACACTGACAGTTTACAAGATTGTGTCCTAGTTGAGGCATTGATATTTTACGAGATCGTGTCTTAATTGAGGCATTTATAGTTTATAAGATTGTGTCCTAATTGAGGCATTGATAGAATACAAGATTGTGTCCGAGTTGAGGTATTGATAGTTTATAAGATTGCATCCTAGCTGAGGCATTGATAGTTTATAAGATTGTGTCCGAGTTGAGGCATTGATAGTTTATGAGATCATGTCCTAGTTGAGGCATTGATAGTTTACAAGATCCTGTCCGAGTTGAGGCATTGATAGTTTATAAGATCATGTCGGGTTTGACATTGATAGTAAAGTGACATTGAATTATACCTGGATTGATTCGAGGTTGAGAATATTTTAAGTTATGCCTGGATTGATACAGGTTTAAGAAACCCTTATAGAGTAAGGCGTTTACTACAAATTGACTATAAAACTTTATTTCAAATGATTTTTCGTTTATAGATTAGCATTCCGATTCACAACAGTACCATTTAAACCTTAATCTGAGGAGCAATGAGGAAGAAATTGTCGCTTTCTCTCTTAAAAATGAACTGAAAATCATGAATTTACAGCTATAGAAAAATTAGAATATATCTAAAATCCTTTATCAGACATTGTGAATCCGACAAACATCTCTATAAATGAAGGATCACTAAGAATTACATCTCCAGTGAATGAATTACATAAAGCTTTTCTATAAAATATTCTTACCCAATCATTATCTGTTTCATCATTTACATAAAAAGTTCCGTTGTACTGAACATTTTCAAACAAGTTTCTTCTGTTTAGAACAATGGCAGCCTACAGTGAAATGTTTTATTTACTAGAAATTAGAACCAATGGAACACCCTCGAGGGATTCAATGATTCCGAGGGTTTATTATTGAATCCCGAGAGCTGGTTTTATTATGGACTTGCATTATAAGGTCTTATACTAGCGGGATTCAACTAACAAATGTTTCATACCAACTGCAATATGAAGTGATATCAAGTTAAGTCAAGAGAACTCAAGTAAAGTCAAGTTAGGTCAAGTTAAAATCCAAGTGAGGTCTAGTAAAGTTAAGATAAATCAAGTGAAATCAATCAGTGAAGCCAAGTGAAGTAAAGTCAACTTAAGTGAAGAAAAGTGTAGTCAAGAGAAGTCAAGTCCAGTCTAGTCAAGCAAAATCAAGTCTAGTCTAGCCAAGTCAAGTCTAGTCTAGCCAAGTCAAGTCTAGTCTAGCCAAGTCAAGACTAGTAAAGAGAAGTCAAGTCAAGTGAATTACGAGGAAATTTCCGTGCATCATTTAATTTGCTGATGATCAAGGTACAGATAGGTTGAATCACTGATGTCTAATGACTATACTACAGTAATCGTAGCTTAAATCAATACAATGAAGACGACTTTTCAACCTAAGCTTTGATTTATAACAATTTCTTTTAAAATTACAAGTAAACAAAGAGAAGCTCTTTATTGACAGTTTCTCTTATTTCAAAGTTTATGTGAATCCATGATGTTTGAAAGCTTAAATTAAAATCAAAAGTTGTCTTCATTGTATTGATATAAACGACGAAGACTGTATTTACCCTACTGTTCACAGCCTGAAATAATTGAGTTCCATTTCTTCTATCTTCCCAGTTGGGATTGGGTTTCTCGCAAATAGTTAGGTTTTTAAGACCTAAAAATAAAATAGACTTGGATTATAGATTTAAAGTTTGTTGAACAAGATCTTTAAAACGATTATTTGATGATCAAACTATACAATTTTTTTTAATAAAAAATGATCAGAAGATATATTCGGAGTTCATGGATCAAATTTTGAATAAAAAGTACTTGACCTTCCTGTTCAGCAAACTCGCAATAATTGATCAGCTCCAAGTTCCTGCATTAAACACAATGATTAATATTCAGCTCCAGGTTCCTGCATTAAACACAGTGATTAATATATTGATCAGCTCCAGGTTCCTGCATTAAACACAATGATTAATATTTTGATCAGCTCCAGGTTTCTGATTTAAACACAATGATTAATAAATTGATCATCTCCAGTTTCCTGCATTAAACACAATGATTAATATTGATCAGCTCCAGGTTCCTGCATTAAATACAATGATTAATATTGATCAGCTCCAGGTTCTTGCATTAAACACAATGATTAATATTTTAATAACTAAGTATTGGAGATTCTCACGTTTTATCAAAATGTTGATCTGATATTGCTGGATTATTTGGACAAACATCAGCAGAATCTAGGACCCCGTCTCCATCCCTACAATAAAATACATTTTTAAAATCCCTCTTTTAATTTTAATATTTTAATAATAGATCAGTTAAATGTATAATAGATTGAGCAATAATACTGAATAATCAATGAATCAGAGTGTATGGATTAAATTTTTTATTGTGTTCGGATCAAATACTATAATGGATTAGAAATTGTATGGATTAGACTGTGTATGGATCAAATACTGTGCGGGTCAGAAAGTATGGATAATCGTGAATCAGGAAGTTATGAATAAGATATATAGTGAATCGTAAAAAAAACATTTTTAAAATTTTTACCCGCTTTGGTATTAAATACCCTGACAAATTAAAAAAAAAATTATATTCTAATATATTGTAATAATCTTTAGACATAGTTGACCCTTGCCCTCTAAAACATTAAGAGCGCTGATTTTACAGTTAAGTTTTTTCTTAAAAAATATGCCAAAAATTATTAACAAAATAAAAAATATTCTCCAAAATTAATATTTTTAAAAACATATTTTTGAAATGGCGAAGTTGAATTTTTTTTTTAAATCTCACAAAAATTAGAAAAATATGAAAAAATTGAAATTTTTTTTAAATCTTTATTTTGATGTCAAACATTATTAAGTTTTTTGCTTAGGATAAGCTTTTTTACTCGACTTGTTGCGTTTGTTGTAGCAAATCATCGAATACTCTACTTCTTTTAATTCTAGGAAAATCGCAACTGCTTTCGTTAGTCATCTTACTTTGACACCTCTAAAACTCTCTTTCATTGGTGTGATTTTTCCGAAACCTGAACCATAATGCAACCCGGATAAACATTTTAATTGAAAGTTTAACATCTATAGAGAATAAATTAATCTTAAACATGTTTAAAAATATCATTAACGCAACAACTTGAAAAAGTACAAAAAAGTTTAACATAATTTTTACTTCACACTGGAACTATTGTACAGTACAGATAGTGTAAACGTTTTGTTAAAATGTAACAAAATATTTTATCTTTTTAAAAAATTGGATCACTTTAAAAATGGAATTCGTTCATATTTTTCCTAAATTAATCTTGACTGAAAATCAATCTTCATAAGCAAATTTTACTTTTTCTGACTATAAGTTAATAATTACACATCCTTCTTTCTGGCTGGGGTCCTCTGGAAAAAATGTCTCAACCCACTTTTATCATTTATAAATTAAATTCCTATCTATCTTCTGAACCTGATATACTAAAATGTTAAAAGAAACATGTACACAGAAGAAGGTATGAGGATTGAAATTAGATCTTTGCATAAAATGTAAGAGGAACTCCGAACTATCTGATGAGGTACATAAACAAGAACAACTGTGACAGAAGTAGATAGTAGATACCTATCTTTTTCACATGCTTTTCCAACTAGCTTATTCCGTTTAGAAGGTTCCTAAACCAAAAATATCTAGAACTCATTAAAAAAGTTTTATTATTATTTTTAATTGAGTCTTTGCCACAACTCTGATTTTCTAATCACTATATTTTTGCAACTTAATGTCCAAAGGCCTTAGAAATTTTAAACTATGAATTCTGTTAGATCGAATTACCTGGTCTGGATTAGGTATAAAAAGACAGTTATCCTTTTCATTTGGAATTCCATCATTATCTATATCTGGATCACAGGCATCCCCCTCACCTTTATTGAATGGGACTGTTCAGGATATAAAAATCAGACACGAAACATATCAAGTGGTAAATAGTTTTGAATGTCTTCTTCCATATACTCAACCAGATATCAAAGATTTAATGCAGTTTATTTTATTAAAAAACATTTGCTCTGATACATTTTACTTTGAAATTAGTTTTACTTTAATGTGACTTCATTTGATATCTTTTAGTTATTCTCTTTGGTTTCAAAAAAATTAACAGATTATGGAATGAGACATTTAAACGATTCACCATTCATGATTCATGTTTCGTGGGACACACTGGGTTTGGGTATTTAAACGAATTACCAATTATTTTCATGTAGACATTAGACATTTATAGCAGTGTCTGGAATTTTTTACGATTAAGTTTACAGTTAGTAAAATTCTGAAATTTTGTAAATTGAAGTTCGTAAATTTTGAAAGGGGGTAATACTGATGCTTTTGATTAACTGTAATTGTAGCTTTCCCATTTTCAAAATTCATGAATTCTACATTATATTACAAGAGCTTCTTTTCGAAATTACAAACATCATGAGCAAAATGTGAGATTTCTGTTTTCTTATACATTTTTTATTCCCCCCTCTCAGAAAACAATTATCCCACCCCCCCCCCCCAAAAAAAATAGGCATGTTTTTTAAAGGTTTTTCTCACTGAATTGTGGGAAAATAAATAGATTTTTGGGCAAAGTATCAAAAGGGATGAAAAAAATTGATGTCAAATTTTTTTCCATCCAGATTTTCCAAAATCAATGGGGGGGGGGAGAAATTTTCAAAAATATCCACCACTTTTCTGTTTATAATTTCAATTAAACTGTTTTAATTATGAAAAACAGTGAACAACATTATTTCTTTTTTTTACTATACACACATTAAATCAAGGACTAAGGTGCTTCGGATTTGATTTAAGATGTCTTACAGATTTTATAGTTTTACATTTTTAAAAATATTGAAAAAGAAATTCTTATTTACCGTCCTTGTCTGTATCCCATTGATTTATGTTGGAAACAATTTTACAGTTGTCTGACGTGTAGAAACCATCCCTGAATTATTCAAAATTTTCTATTTTTTAAATTTAATTTGTTTAAGGGACATAAATATTTTTTTAAATCTTCACTCCCTCACAAGACAATTGAAAGTTTTTATTATCAATGAATTAGGAAAACCAAATAATTTTAGAGAAATTGAATGAAATTTTAGAAGAATGTAGAAAACTTGCTAGCTGATGTCCATTGTCCAATTGTTCATATCACCTCCCTCCCTGCCCCTCCAATCTTCAAAGACACTTTTTTAAAGAAAAATATATCTCCTTAATTTCAAAAACATTCAAAAAAAAAAAAATTTAATTTAACTACCCATCCATATCTTCGCCAGCTTCACATGCATCCCCTACTCCATTTCTATCCCCGTCTTTCTAGAATTAATAAGAAATTATACGCTTAAAGGAACTGTACCCATAATTTCAAGTGACCCTCCGTGCATATAAGTCAACACAGCGCGCACTTGAATTTGCAGCTGACTGGAAGTGAGGTTCAAGAAGTTTATATCTCTGTACTCGACGAACACACAAATGTTTAAAGGGTACCGTTGTAAATCAGGCATTGTCCTCTTGGCGTAGAGGGTCACTTCAAATTAGGTGTACAGTCCCTTTAAACCTTTATCTAATTAATGTAGAAGAAATTTTCTTTTCTAGGTCTTAAAGTTTTTAATTCTGAGCCCGCGATTTAAAAGCTTCGGCTCGAGCCGTATTTCCTTAAACCCGACTTTAAGACCAAATCTTAAACCCAACTCTGACGACAGCTTGTGTCACATGATTGACAGCTGCAAGATCTTCGGCTCGACTTTAGGAGTTAGGCTCAATGAAAATAAAACCGACCTTGGTTGGTTTTAATGGAGAATAAGGGTTCAGTGTTGAGCCTTGCTTTCATAAAACCCGGAATGCGCCAATTCCTTCCATGAAAATCCGCCAAATAGAATATTTAACCGGTTTTTTAACTGAACTCGGTGAAAAATTAGATGCAACTTGAATCCGAAAGCTCAAGCCGTAAATAAAATCCGTAAATCGTGGGCTCTGATATGTTTTCCTGTAGTAGAAATGTGCAAGTCGCTTTAATAGAGAAACAAAGATTGAAAATAATTATTATTACAAGTACAGTCTATTCAGAATAAGGAGAATTTTGATTTGTCCCAGAAAGTATGAATGTTTTCTTATTCTAAAATTTTTTATTATTCTTGCATATCAAAATGATAAATGCAATTTTATTATCCTTGAATTTATTTTATTATATTCTGCCAAAGTTTTGTACCATAGGATTTTTTTGCCCAGTTAGCACAAGCAAAACAATGCATTTCAAATTAGTTTACATGCTACTAAAGGCTAAATTGATTTAATTTGCCTTTGAATCTTTGGAAAATAACAACATTAAAAAATGGGGAACAAAATGGGAACAAAATTGGAACAAAATGGAAAAAAATGGGAACAAAATGGAAACCAAATGGGGACAAAATGAGAACAAAATGGGAATAAAATGGGAATAAAATAGGAACAAAATGGGAACTAAATGGGAACTAAATAGGAACAAAATGGGAACAAAATGGGAACAAAATGTGAACAAAATGTGAACAAAATGGGAATAAAATTGGAAAAACTAGGAAAAAAATGAGAAAAAAATGTGAACAAAATGGGAACACAATAGGAGCAAAATGGGAGCACAATAGGAACAAAATGGGAACAAAATGGGACCTGATCAGGATTTTTGAAATCTTTACAATTGTCACATTGGTCTCCGAACCCATCTTCGTCTGAATCTTTCTACGAGAAAAATTGAACATTTTATGCAAATTAATTTCTTAGTGAAGAGTATTTTAACCTGGTCCGGGTTGCTATCTAAGATGCAGTTATCCTGAAAAATGATAATTTTGTAAAATTGATTTTTAAATATTTCTGTAAAATTAATGTGGGACATTCAAAGGGAGTACTAAACGTTTCAATGGTGTGCATGTTGCAAGGAAAAGTTGTACAAATTTCAAGACTGGTTTGACATTAAAGTGTCGCAACGACCTGGTCTTTGATTTTACCACTGCACTACCTCACAAATACTTGTTTGTAGCCCCCTTGAACAAGTAAACTTTAAAACAATAAAACACTAAACTAAAGTTTTTAGGAAGTAATTGGCAAAATTCTCATTGATATTTGCGTGCGAGCTTTACCTTCGGAGCACTGTGTGTAATTTGTAAAGGGGTTTGTATATTATGAAAAACGTATTTATGACAAATTAAAAATATGACTTTTGTAATTTGTGACTTATAAAATTTATGAAAATTGTAATTCATAACTTTTGTAATAATGACAAACGTTTTATGAAAAACAAGTTTCTCGCAAACGTATTGTGACTTTTTACAGTACGTTTTAAGGGGGATTAAGACTTTTAATGTAGGTACTGCCACTGGACGTTTTAAAAGAGGTAATATGACACTTTTAATGAGGTACTCAAATATCTTCATTCTATTCCACAAATAAATGTTCTCATTGTAGTACTCAAATTTTTGTCTAACTTATTATACGTAGTTATGTCACGTGTATGCATCAAGTTTTAAAGAAATAAATTTAGATTTTTTTTAGAAAATGTGCAATTTGAATTAGATTACATTTCAGATGCTGATCGTGTCGAGAAAATAAAATTAATACTTGGTAAACAAAAGTGAGTAACTAAAAGTGAGTAACTAAAAGTGAGTAACTAAGAAAAAAAAACTGAGGGAGCCAACTCAACATACAATTAAAACACATATGCGCTCATTATTATAGAGTTTAACAACATCTGAGCCAACTCATCATATGTATAAAAAGAAACGAAAAATAATTACTTTTTCATTATTAACTTCATCTCCGTCCATATCATCGTCACATAAATCTCCGATTCCATCACCATCAGTGTCCTTGAAAAATAACAGACTTTAAATCTAATAAAATATATATATTCATGAAGGAATTCAGATTTTGCCACAAACACTAAACTCTATATCTTTGCGATCTGATGATGTAAACCTTTGATATTTCAAACTTAGATTATTTGATCCAAATGATGAAATATCTAAGGTCTATGACATTGGGTTGCAAACTTGAAAAAACATATAGGGCTTGGTAAATGAGAATTTGTGGCAAAGACTCAATTTTCCTCTAAAAGGGAGTGTTCACATATCTTAGTTCTGCAACAGGTACACACTATTGATGACAGAAAATGGTTTATTTCTCCCGGATTTACGTCTTCACAAGAAAACCGAAAGATCGAAGAAATTACTATAATAAATATACTGTTACATATGAAAGAAAAATGAATCAATACAACTACTCATTAGATCTAATATTCGACGAGTCGGTTTTTCTTACAATTTATTATTATTTACAAAGATACAAATACTAAAGGAAAATACTATACAAATCAAATTGCATGAATTGAGAATAGTTCAGAGTGATGGGAGATCTCCAGGGGAACCTATTAACTAGGGAGCTGGTCTTCAACTGCTATTTTTCCCCAACTTTCACTCCACCCTAGGCTAGAGCTTAACCCTAGTTCCCCGGGAGCTGGCCGGCCATCCCACCAGCACCCGGGCCTCTGGAATAACGGAACTATTGGCGTGGCTTGGGTTTTCCGCGTGGCTTGGGTTATTTATAGAATTCACACACAAACACGAATAAATCCGTTTGATCTGTACAAGGGATGGAAAAGGGGGGGGGGAGATGAAGGAGAGAGAAAAAAGACCCTTTATGATCGCAGGAAAGATCAACACATCACTTTCCTGCTACAATACACTATTCAGGGTTACCAGCAGAGGATGAGACTTTAATTACGACATGAAACTCTTTAAGTAAAACGATCTGAGATTCAATTGAATCTTGGTCTTTGAATATTGTTTTTAAGGGTGAAATGACGAAATAAATTTACAGAATCAATTCCATATTCCATTCTAAACTCTGACACCATTCAGAGTATGAGCGTATATACATTCTCATCTGACTAGTACTACGATAAGCATTAGACAAGTATATTCAAAACATTGTGGTGCCTCCGACATTAATATCCTAACAATCCATTTCAGCTTTGACGTACTTTTTGCTTCCAGTTGAAGAGACGAGGACAGTTATCACAAGCATCTCCAGCTAGGTCACCATCTCTATCCTCTTGACCAGGATTCTTTGTCAGTGGACAATTGTCAGGACTTTCCTTAAATTAGAATAATAAAATTAGAACACACTTTTTAAGTTTATTAATGCTTTTTGTTCAGAAGAGATCTACTGAACAGCAGTTAAAAATATCTATGAAACAATTTATATATGATTGTTTTATTATCTACACTTTCATTTTACAAAATTGATAAATGAGCATACATGGTGTACTAAACAGATTGTTAAGTACATGCAGTATTGCAATAATTGGCAGTGGATAGTGCGTAAACATTCAGTACAGCTGTATTTACTATTTACGTCACTGGCATCATTTAAAAATATTAGACAAAAGACCTTACAGTGAAATTCATTATGTTTAAGTGTCCTTGCTTTTCGTTTAACATACTTTAATTCAATGTACATTGTTGGAACTAATATTCCGTGTCACATTTGACACCAATGAAATTATTCACTATTGCTTTAAAAATCCCAAGCCAACATTGACAGAGCGTATGTTAACTTTTAAGTTTACCCAACCTAAAGCTGAAAAGTCTAAGAAATAAAGTAGATTAAAAAATATTTTAAAATTTCAAAATGAAGAATTTGAAACAACCCCTAAGATTTGGTGTCATGATGTCAAAATAAGAAAGTAAAATTTCTATGAAAATGTTTAAAAACTCACTAAGTTTGTTTGGCACAAAAGCTCCCTTTTTCTTAGCTGTTTTTCCCCCTGTTTAGTAACTGCAGAACCATTATGTTTTTCCTCACCATAAGCCTCTAGTCATATTTTTTACATACATCAATGATTCATTGGAATTACATAACTAAGATTATTAACTGCAAATCATCAGGCTCTTACTGTTAAAACTAAATCTAGAGGTTTAGTTTTGAAAATTTTTAAGATTGAAAAAGAAGTCGAATCAGGCGTTTCTCTACAGTGCAGTGGTCGGCACTTCAAAACAATGAAGACGACTTTTTGATTAAATTTTAATAATTCCCTTTCATTGTATGCCAATTTTACATTATCATTATTCTTATTCCTTAATTTTGGGTGATTTAAATGTAATTATATTGTTAAGAAATAAATCAGTAATGATATGAATAATTATTGAATTTCGATATAAAATATTCCTATTTCTCGGGTTATTTTTTCCATCTCTTCCTCTGTACATCTTATATTAGCTTGAAACTAAAATATTTTTATGATTACACTTTATTATAATTTATAAAATATATATTTTGTATACCTCATTTTTGTCTAGGACTCCGTCATCGTCCTAATCAAATTTAATTATAAATAAAGTCGACGTAATTTCGAGCTACATGTCAAATTCAGTCAAATGGTATCCTTAAAATCTCTATTTGAGTAAAAATGAGTTAATCATCGTCGTTTTTTTTAAAAAAACATGTTAAATTTGACAATTTTATTGAATGTCTTTCAAGCATAATAAGCAAGTCACTTTACTAGAAAACTGCACTCTAAAAATCCATTTAAAGAGATAAAGAAGAATATCTCATGGCCTAGATCAGACATAGGTTTAAAGAGATAAAGAAGAATATCTCATATCCTAGATCAGACATAGGTTTAAAGAGATAAAGATAAATATATCATAGCTTATATCAGACATAGGTTTAAAGAGATAAAGAAGAATATCTTATATCCTAAATCAGACATAGGTTTATAGAGATAAAGAATATCTCATTTCCTAGATCAGCCATAGGTTTAAAGAGATAAAGAAGAATATCTCATGGCCTAGATCAGACATAGGTTTAAAGAGATAAAGAAGAATATCTCATATCCTATATCAGACATAGGTTTAAAGAGATAAAGAAGAATATCTCATATCCTAGATCAGACATAGGTTTAAAGCGATAAAGAAGAATATCTCATATCCTAGATCAGACCTAATAGGTTTAAAGTTTACTGTTATGAATTAGACATGGAGGGATAAATGCAATTATGTTCCAAATCCTTAAATTGTGAATCGATAAATGATTCAGTTATAATTCTGATTACTTTCTGTCATATTGCAACCGCCCGTTTTAAACTAAGGTTACAAAAATAAAAAAATTCAATATTATTTTTGATGAAAAAATACTTACCAGGTCGTCATCACATGCATTTCCCTCCCCATCTCCATCAGTATCTTAGTATGGGAATTCTTTAAAAAACTTTAAGGGCGGGATTGTGTTTTTCACCCAAAAAGGAAAATATTCAGTTTTTTTTTCTGTCGGAAAGTTTTTGATGTAGATAAAAGAACTCAACAGAGTATTTCCCGCAAACTCGAATTTTCTAATCTTTATATCTTTGCAATCCAATGTAGTAGACCCTCCCCTTAATGAAAATGCACCATTCCTTTTTATTGAATCTATGTACAATGTCTGCGTTAAAAACTTAATAATTGTGTTGTTGCTGCGTGTTCAAATGAGAAATATCGAAATGAAGAGGGAAGCAGAAAAATTAAACTGTAAAGATGAAAAAACGAAAGAGAAATACTGAAAAAAATACATTGATATTAATAATAATAATAATAATAATATCAAATTACCTAATTGATCAGGATTGTCAATGTCTTTGCAATTATCCTTGGAGCAAAATGGACCCTGGCATCCTGGTATATCCTCATCAGGAATATTATCTGAATTTTAATAATAATAATCATATATATATATAAACTTGGCTTGTCTGTATGCATCCATTAAACGTGAAAACGACTAAACCGATTGCGCTCAATTTTGTGATGGAAACTCAAACGACCCCAGGGAAGGTTTATGGACAGTTGTCCGACAGAAAGAGGACTATATCATCTTTTCTACTAGGAGAGGACTAGGCCATCGGTACTACAGAAAAAATGACAAGATTATCTTTACTACAGAGAGAGGACTAGATTATATTAACTACAGAGAGAGGACTTGATTATATTTACTACAGAGAGAGGACTAGATTATATTTACTACAGAGAGAGGACTAGATTATATTTACTACAGAGAGAGGACTAGATTATATTTACTACAGAGAGGAATAGATTATATTTACTACAGAAAGAGGACTAGAATATTTGTCCTAAAGAGAAAGGATCAGATCATCTGTACTACAGAGTAAGGACTAGATTATTTGTCCTACAGAGAGATGACTAAATTTGATAATCTGTCCTACAGATAAATTACAATATTTTGTCCCACATTTACTTTTTTGGCTTTAGTTGTTGTGCATAAAGTGCACAAATTATGATTTAAAAAAAGTATAGAATAAACCTACCAAGATCAGAGTCTACGCCACACAATAAACCGTCTCCACTATATCCAATCTTGCAGAAGCATTTATGCTTATGTTTAACTGCGTTCTTGTCACACTCTGAAAAGAGATAAAAAATTTATAAAAATTGTTTTAAGAAGTAAAACCTTTATAAAATACTAGCTGACGGTCCCGGCGTTGCCCGTAGTAAAAAAAAATAAAAATGTTAAAAACAAAAAAGTTTCAGCCCATTTGGTCCAGTCGTTTGGCCGGCTATGGCCAACATATATATGACTGTCTTGTTTTACTTATTGCATATCATTGCCTTCCCAGTCATGTTATAATGATTTCGTTTTGGACATCGAATTTGAAAAAAAAACACAATGGAATTTTGAAATCAATAAAACAGACTTTATTTACCAGCATTGGTAATTTCTCAACATGGGAAGGAATTTAATGAATTTTAATCACCTTGTGCCGAGCAGTTCAAATTTGAATCGCTGATTCAATTGGTTTCTTAATCTTAACTTTTAATGGGTGTCTCAAATTTAAACCGGCACTTGGTAGTTCAGTGAAGTAGCTCAACTCGGTGCATGATCAAATATTTAAAAAAAATACATACTTAAACATTTCAGTTCTGATTCCACATCCCATGTACTGAAATTATAAAAACTAACGGTATTCATTTCCTACTTTTTTTTAAAACGGATTTAAAACTAATTTAGTTATTTATAATAAAAGTTCTAGAATTAAGGTTAGGTTTGTACATGTGCAATTGCTAGCAATGTTGCTTGGATGCTTGTAAATATGTCTCTTCAAGAGATATTATTGAATTGCAAAATTACATTTTAAAACTTCCTTGTCATAATTAGCTATATTACATACCCATTTGAGAGACAGTTGATCATATTCACGTATGGTTGAAAATTTTGAGGACAAATAATTCTGCAGGACAAGTGTGGAGGAAGGTCTGGGAAGCAAGAGAACTGAAGGGAAGATTTGGGGTGATGTGGACTACTGCAGTTTGCTAAATTCAGTAAAATATTTAAAAATGAAGAAACAAGTTAAACATTAAATAGGCCCTTACCTGAATAACTATCATTTGAGTCCAATGTTGTCTCAAAGCTCCCAGACACACTGTTAGGGTCAATGATCAAATCACTTGTTAATATTGAAACATCTTTATTACTTTGATAAGTTGAATTTCTGCTAATATTCTGATTTTCTGAGGCATTTTCAGAGTCTGCTGGGAACTCTAGTTCCATAGTAGTATTCTTAGCCTTCTCTTTAGCCAGCAATATTTCTTCATCTGCAGTTAAAATATTGTTAGATGTCTCATTGGTAGTTGCATAATTTCTCTGATTCTCTCCAGGAAACTCTACTTCCATTGAAATGTTTTCTTTTGTTTCTTTTTTACCGGAAAACTCTACACTTTCCGAATTATAAGAAGTTTTTGAATTATTTTTTGAGTTGTCTGAGAACTCAAAATCCATGGAGTTGTTTTTATTATTGTCTTTTTCTAATAATACATCATTCCCTGCAATAAGAAAATTCATTAAAAACTTTATGTAAGTTATAATATTTTGTAAGTTTTTAACCTACAAATTAATATCATTGTAGGGGGCCTTGATGAACCAATATTACCTCAACCCTTACCTGTTGCATTATAAGAATCATTTGAAGTTTCATCAGAAACTTCAAATTCCATTGATTTTTTTTTATTTTCTCCTCCAGCTATTAAAATATCTTTTCCTACAACAAAAATTTATCACATTTTTCAACTTTTTAAAGTTTAAAGGTTGGGAATAACCAGTAAAACCAACTAAATATTGCCATTTCCAATTGTTGAAAGTTTTGTAGATCTAGTTACATCTGAAATCTCAAATTCCATTGAATTATTTTTAGGGTTTCCAGGCGTAATTACGTTACGCGTAATTACTCGTAACACTTTCTTTAACTTACACAGGAGCATTATGCGTAATTATGCGTTTATTATGTTTACGAAAGAAAGTCTAGTTTTGCATAATTAATGCATAATTACGAAAAAATACGTAATACAAAGCAATTCCGAAATAAATAATTCTGAGAAAGAATTATAGCGGGAAAGTATGTGTACCACCATGCCAAACATATTTTGACGACTTTATTGACATTTTTTTCAAACAAGGAAGGTAAACTTGAGAAAGTAGGTTGAAATATTAACAAGTCGTTGAAAATTGAAAATTTATAGATAATGTATTTTTTTGATAAAAATAAATTGTTGGCCCTTTGATAAACTTCATAGTTGTCGAATGTGAAAATTACATCAACATTGTATTGGCTGAAATTTATGATTCAACTTGCGTGACATTATTTTCCTTGTAAGTTAGTTGTTTTATTTTAATTAAAAGTTAAAACTTCAAAATTTCAATTACGCTGTAATTTCGTGTAATTAAAGTTTCGATTATTACACGCAATCATTATGAAATTTTGCGAAATTATTCTGTAGAAATTACGCAAAATTCTGCCGTGATTTTGCTAAGGAATATTTCCTCAATTGCATGTAATCCTGCAAAATTACACGAAATGAAAATTATTATGCGTAACTGCACATAATTACGCATAAGAGAATAATCTATTACATTGGAAACCCTAATTTTATTTTATTTTTTTCCAGGCTAAAAAATATGTTTGCTTCAACAACAAAATTTTAAAACCTTTTTTATCTAAAAGTTATGATGATTTTAGGTTGCAAAATAAAAAATTTAAAGAACTAAATATTACTGTTTTCAACTGTTGAACGTTTTGTAGTTACATCAGAAATCTCAAATTCCATTGATTTGTTTTTGTTTTCTTCCCCAGCTATCAAAATATGTTTTGCTGCAACAACAAAATTTTATTACATTATTTTCAATTTAAATATCCTAAAAATACAAGTTAAAAGAACTAAATATTACTGCTTTCAATTGTTGAATGTTTTGTAGTTACATCAGAAATCTCAAATTCCAATGATTTATTTTTGTTTTCTTCCCCAGCTATCAAAATATTTTTTGCTGCAACAACAAAATTTTATTAAATTATTTTCAATTTAAATATCCAAAAATTACAAGTTAAAAGAACTAAATATTACTGTTTTCAGTTGCTGAATGTTTTGTAGTTACATCAGAAATCTCAAATTCCATTGATTTATTTTTGTTTTCTTCCCCAGCTATCAAAATATCTTTTGCTGCAACAACAAAATTTTCTTAAATTATTTTCAATTTAAATATCCAAAAATTACAAGTTAAAAGAACTAAATATTACTGTTTTCAATTACTGGACGTTTTGTAGTTACATCAGAAATCTCAAATTCCATTGATTTATTTTTGTTTTCTTTCCCAGCTATCAAAATATCTTTTGCTGTAACAACAAAATTTTATTAAATTATTTTCAATTTAAATATCCAAAAATTAAAAGTTAAAAGAACTAAGAACTGTTTTCAATTGTTGAACGTTTTGTAGTTACATCAGAAATCTCAAATTCCATCTATTTATTTTTATTTTCTTCCGCAGTTATTAATATTCATTTTTCTACAACAATAACTTTGTTCACAATACTGTTATCAAATTAAAGAAAATTACAAGTAAAACTAACCATTTTATTCAAAGTTGTATTTATTTTGGCTTAGCTCAATAAAAACAAGTTTTAATGACTAAATTTTATTAGCTAACTTAGAAAAAACTATTTGTTATACATTTAGAAACATTAAGATATATGAATCAGCTGGATTTTCTCAATCTCTCCAGCACATCCTGTTCTGTAGAAATCCTAGTGATCGTCTTCCACCACATCACTCCCCCTAGAAGGTACGGTGGAGTCAAGGCGGAGCAGGAACTTATCCCTTGGTCTTGTTTGTAGGGATTTTGTCTGCTAACTGTTTCAGTTTGAAATCTCACAGACTTCTTTTTCTGTAGAGGTGGAAACTTCATGGCAGAGGAAAGTTCTGGTGGTTTCTTGTGGGGCGGAGAGGCGGAAGACCTCCACTGGAGAATTGGAATTACATGTTTGAGACAGTCCAAGAACACAGTCAACTCGAGTTCCGATCTGAAGACGGAAGAAATTGTTCTGCCGTTATAATACTAGGCATGGACAACGGTAGAGAGGAGCAAGAGAAGGTTAACTTGCAACTTAACAAAGAAAAACTAATTGGGAATTTACCAGGGAGCATGAGGCAGAAATGTCTGATTAAAGAATATGCAGCCAGGAGCCTGTGGAAGGCATAGTATTTCTTCTCTGCTTTGAACAACTACGTGGAGTAGAAGGCCAATGGAAACAAGGCACCTGTTGTTGTAGAACAGCAACTACTTGAGACTCCAAGGCATCTACAGCAAGGGAGATTGGAGGTGAGGGATGAGAACTGAGGATGAATCAGCTCTGGAACCTGGATGACAAAACCCTACATAAGGTGTGGAGACCAGATTAGGGATCTGTACCGGAATATTTGTCAAGACTGTTGGGATAAACAAAACTTGGGTGCACCAATTTAGCTACATTTTATTATAGTTTTAGAAACATGGTTCAGGTGGATTTACTCAATCTCTCCGCTGCGTCATATTCTGTAGAAATCCTAGGGATCATCTTCCACCACACAATTACTTTTGAATTATCACATTTCTTAATTTCTAAATTCAACAAAATTAAAAAATGTTCTTTTCATTAAAGATTGAAAGGTTCCTTATAGAAAAAACTATTGCGTCTCTCAATAAATAATTTAAACTTTATAATTTCGTTATAATTTCATAGATTTATTTTTATTTTCTTCACCTAGTTTTTTCATGCATGCATTCATTAAGATTTTTTAATTGCTCCATTTGTTTGATTTTAGATAATGATATTTTTTTAAATAAGCATTTTTATTCTTCAGATTTACCTTTTCTTCTACTAGAATTGTTTGTAGTGCCATAAAACCCAAATTCAAGGGATTTATTTTGATTTTCTTTACCATCAATTAACAATTCTTTCTCTGCAACAAAGATAATATTTTTTAATTACTTCATTTAATTTTTTTTAAATTAAATTTTTATGAAAAAGGTAATAGTAGATATGGCAGTAATTTCAAATTCCTTTGATTTATTTTTATTTTCTTCCCCAACAACTGTAAAAATTTCATTCGCTATAATTTATAATGTATAACAATATTAATAATCCTTTTTTTAAAGTTTTGAACCCAAATTCTTTCTTTTTAAAGTAAAGTAAATTTTATTGATGATAGATTGATGTCTAACATATCATTGGCAGTCTCACCAGTATTGATACTAGATGCATTTGTTGTTTCGTCAGAAAATCCATATTCCATTGATTTATTTTGATATTCATTTCCAACATTTGATAGTTCCAACTCTGAAAATAAAAGATTTCTCCAAATATCTGTTCTAACATGATAGATTATAAAATGAACAATTGATAACTATTGGTTTACCATTTTCCTTGCTAGCATCATTTGTGGTTTTTTGAGGAATTTCAAATTCCACTGATTTATTTTGATTTTCTTCCCCATCGATTAACAGTTCTTCATACAAAACAGGAATAATCAAATTTCTTCTTTAAAGTTTTGAAATCAAATTCTTTTAATTTGATGGACTTGATTTCTTTATAAAAATGCCCTTGTATCATTGTTAGTTTTACCATTATTAATACTAGATGCACTTGTTGTTTCATCAGAAAATCCCAATTCCATAGATTTATTTTGATATTCTTTATCAGCATTTGATAGTTCCACCTCTGAAAACAATTTTTTTTCTCACCAAATTCCAAAATAAAATGATGATTTTTGGCTTACCATTATCATTGCTAAATTCATTTGTGGTTTTGTTAGGACTTTCCAATTCCATTGATTTATTTTGATTTTGATCTAAAACAGTGATAATCAATTCTTCTTTAAAGTTTTGAAATCAAATTCTTTCTTTTTGGCAGATAAACCTGTTTTTATTGTAAAAATGTTCTGATATTATTGTCATTTTTACCTTTCTCGATACTAGAAGCACTTGTAGTTTCATCAGAGAATCCAAACTCCAGTGATTTATTTTGATATTCATCCCCAGGACTTGATAATTCCGCCTCTAAAAACAAAATTAATTCAATTTATTTTTTTCTCCAATTTCCAGAATTAACCATTAAAATAGCTGTTTTAACATGATTATAAAATGGACAATTGATGATTCTTGGTTTACCATTATCATTGCTAAAATCATTTGTGGTTTTGTTAGGAATTTCAAATTCCATTGATTTATTTTGATTTTCTTCCCCATCAGGTAATATGTCTTTCTCTAGTATTATTTTGATTTTATTCCTGAGTTTTTAATAAAAGCTTCATCTGCAATTAAAATTGAATTCTATTTATTACATTACTGAAAAAAAAAATTTGCAGTTTTTCTTGATTAAATAACAAATAATTAAAAAATGGACAGATAATAATTAAAACATTGCCTATTTTAAAATTAGTATCATTCTGATCATCATCATAAAATCCATATTGCATCGATTTATTTTGATTTTCTTCCTCATCAATTAACTTATCTAACTCTACAATAATCAAAAATATGAAATTAACATCAATAAAAATATTAACATATTTTTTTCTAAAATTTTTATATTTTTTTCTTACAGACTGTTGAATCTGAGAAACAGATACAATTTTAAGGAATTGTTAAATAAGTCTACCTCTTACGATACTGGAAACGGTTGTAGTTTCCTTCAAAATATCAAATTCCAGGGATTTATTTTTGATTTCTTCTTGATCATTCAAAATACTTTCTTCTGGAAACCAAAATAAATTTCAATTAATATTATACCACAAAAAATGTATTTATAAATTTTAATGATACTTAAATCAAGCAGTTCATTGGTCTTAGGTTTACCTTCCTTAATGGTAGATCCACTTGTGGTTTGGTCTAATATGTCAAATTCCATAGATTTCTTTCCATTATTCTCTTTTTTATCTATTTGATTTTCAGAATCAATTGGAAACTCTAGTTCTACAGATGAGTTGTCACTTATTTCTCCTGCTTCAACAGTTCCATCATTTCCTGGTGATTCATTGTCTCTTTGGGATTCAAATGTAGTATTTTTCCCAGGGATATCTATCAAGATGTCATTTTGATTCAGGGTTTCTGGTAATGAATGTATCTTAGGTATAAAATATTTTATTTTCAATGATTTATTTTGAGCCGATTCATTTTCAGGAATTTCCTGTGTGTTCTCCTTTAATCCAGATGGTTTAAAGTCACCTATAAGTCCTTCTTTATCAAGAATTATATCCGAAGTATTTTCAATTTTAGGTGTTTCAGAATTATCTAAACTTGGTGGTTTCTCATCCTTAACTTTAATATCTGAACTTATTGAAGACTCCATAACATTTGTTTTATTTTTGAAATCTGAATTTGTCTTGTTCTGTTCTGCTTCTTTATAAGCATTAAAATAATCATTTTCATTTGTTGTAGTTTGTTCTGCCATTGGTTCAGTCACATTCTAAAAGAAGTTTTATTTAGAATTTAATTTTAGTGAAAATTGTTGAACCCTTAATCACAAGCTCAGTAACTTTAAGCCAAAATATTGTCTTCATTTCAGGTTTAATTTGGTTGTATTTATTATCTAAACTACCTGAAGCCACTATTTATTTGGTTCTAGAAAAATGTCTAAATGTTCATTAATAAAGAATATCTTAAACAAGTATTGTAAAAACTCACCGAATCTCTTTGAAACGTCATTGCAGTAAAAGTGTCACCTTGGACATCATTATTGTCATGTATGCTATTTGGCTGAAAAAATATTTAAATGCATACAAGTAATTACGAAGTATGCTTGGCACTTCAAATAATTATTCTAAATAAAAAAATGTGCATTAATAGAATATTAAAATGAAGCACTAAAAATAAAAGTCACCAAATCTTTAATTGGTTCTGAGGTGTTTTCCCCTTCTGGTCTATTAAGCTGAAAAAAATATATAAATAGGCATAAAACAATTATTAGATAAAAGTTTAATAAGCACTCCAAATCATAATTTTAAATAAAAATGTGGATTAACAAAATATCTAGATGGTTGATGGTAAAAATCACCGAATCTTTGTTTGGTTTGAAGGTGTCTTCTCCTTTGAGTCTATTTTTCTGAAGAATAAAAAAAATATATAAAAAGGCATAAAATAATTATTAGATAAAAGTTTAATAAGCACTTCAAATCATAATTTTAAATAAATATGTGAATTAACAAAATATCTAGATAAAGAGTTGATGGTAAAAATCACCAAGTCTTTGTTTGGTTCTGAGGTGTCTTCTCCTTTGGGTCTATTTTTCTGAGGAAAAAAAATATATATAAATAGGCATAAGAACAGTTACTAGATGAAAGTATGCTAAGCACTTCAAAACATTATTTTAAATAATAAACATGTGCATAAATAAGTACTAAAAATAAAAATCACCCAATTTTTATTTGGAGCTGAGGCGTTTACCCCTTCTGGTCTATTTGGCTGAAAGAAATATAAAATTAAGCTTAAAAACAAGCACTTAATTCAAATCATAATTTAAAATAAAAAATGTTGATTAACAAATTATCTAGATAAAGAGTTAATGATAAAAATCACCCAATTTTTATTTGGAGCTGAGGCGTTTACCCCTTCTGGTCTATTTGGCTGAAAGAAATATAAAATTAAGCTTAAAAACAAGCACTTAATTCAAATCATAATTTAAAATAAAAAATGTTGATTAACAAATTATCTAGATAAAGAGTTCATGATAAAAATCACCCAATTTTTATTTGGTGCTGGGGTGTCTTCCCCTTCTAGTCTATTTGGCTGAAGAAAATATATATAAAGGCATAAAACAATTACTGGGTGAAACTATTCTTAGTAATTTAATCATAATTATAAATAAAAAATGTGGATTAACAAAATATCTACTGTACTGATGATAAAAATCACCGAATCTTTGTTTGGTGTTGAGTCAGGTTCTTCTTCTTTTCTATTTGGCTGAAGTAAAAAATGAATTTAGGCATAAACAGGATAAAAATGTACATAAACTAAAATTAAGATAAAGAACTAAAAATAGTCACCAAATCTTTGTTTGGTGCTGAGTCATCTTCATCAACATCATTATTGTCATATGTTCTATTAGACTGAAGAAAACATATATATTAATATCACCGTGTTCCTGGATAAACATCATCAATCATATTATTGCACTTTTTTGAATTAAATTTTTTAACTAATCTTTTTGGGTTTAAGAGCAATTCTTATTTTAACATGGGACCTATAATCTGTCAAAATCTTGGATCATTATGATATTTATCAATTACACATTTGCATGTGTGTGATATGTTATTTCTTGCAGGTTTTCAAGAAACATATTTTTGAAAGGTTTATTATTTCATGTTTTCTGAAAAACTATATTTAAAATTTTGTTATTTATGTTTAATAATAAAATGTGGGGTGGGGTGGCTGGTCTGGGACACCAGTTCTTGTTAGATCACTGAAGTTAAGCACACTTGTCCACAGCCAGTCACTGGATTGGTGTCCAGACTGGTGTTCAAGGGTTCGATTCCCGTACTCCACACAAACCTGTGGTTTCAAAAACATCTGAAGCTGACATCTGATTAAGCAGTTATGACCACCTGACAGATGTAGGAGGACAGAGGGGCGGCTGTCAACAACTCTCGCAGCGAAAGGGTGCATGCTTTCTACACAACAAGAAAGAAGCTTCAAGTGGGATTGATCCAAGTGAATGATGATGAAGAGAGGAATGGTGGACAAGCAGGGAGAGTCTATGGTTGCCAGCTATAGGTATCTTGGGGTATCCATTCCAGGCTTACAGATGTTAGGGAGCAATGAGTTTGATGTTTCCTATCAGTATGGCACCCGGGCCTCATTCCAATATATCAGAAGGATTCCTACACTCTATATTCTCAGGCCTAAGAAGAATCTTAGGCAGCTGGAATCTTGTCAACCCTCTTCTCAGAATGAATGAAGCGTGGATGGATGAATGTGCTACCAGATTACAACCCCTGGTAGTTAAATATAAAGACTCAGACAACACCATACTTTCGCAATAGAAAAAATTCCGAGATTTCATCGTAACAACCCGATCATGTCCTGGGGACAAAAAATTCTCTAATAAATAATAAAATGTTCTTTTGGGATATTAGAAAATGTCGCTGTTTTTTTCCTGACACTGTGATAAAGGTTTAAAAGCAATAACTTTATATATAAAAGATAAAAATTTGCAGCACTTTATATAATAAGCTGAAATAAAAAAAATGTGGATTATAAGATTCCTTCATGAAGTCCTAAAAATAAATAAAACATCCCTGAATCTCTTTTAACTGGTGCAGAGGTGTCATGCTTCTTTTCAACCCAACTCAAGAAATTAAGTCTTTACCACAAACTCAAATTTTGTATAATTTATAATCCCTTTATCTTTACAACCAAATGTGAGTATAGACCTTGGATAATTCTGTTTGAAATATCAATTATCAAAGGTTTATAACTCCAGGCTGCAAATATATAGGCCATAGGGATTATAAAATTTGAATTCAGGGTAAAGATTTAATTGCTTTATGAGTTCTTGCAATCCACAATTAGTTTAAAAAATTTACTTTCTACACTCTCAGAGATGGTTTATTCTTCAAGGCTTGCACTGTACACATCTCTAAGTACTGTTATAATACAAACCTTTATATCATCATCACATGGTTTCTCCAGTGTAGAGTTTTCCGAAACTCTGTTTGCTTCTTTTATTTCATGATCTTCTTCTGGTTCAGGCTGACAACCAACACCCAGCTGTTCAGAACACCAATGACCAGCAAAACACCTATTTTATTATTTTAACTTGTATCATATGAATATTACCAACCAATTCTTAGATATAATTTACTCTTTTCTTCTGTTTGAATTTCACTGTGCTCTCTTTATATGAAATTATAAAAAATAAATGTTTTTAAAGAAAAAGTTTTAAGCAGAGTTTTAAGCATGATTCCCTTCTCACTAAATGCTCTTTAATTTACTATTATCACCTTGCAATTACAGGTTTTGCAATAGCATATCCAGGGTTGCAAGACAGCAACCTCTCTGATTCAGAAATATACTCCCATTTTCCATTATCTTAATTAAAAAAAGATTAAAATATACCTTTGTTTATATGAAATGTAAGTATTTCAAAAAGATGTTCTTATAAATATGCTTTTTGAGGGGGGGGGGGGTGAAATATCTGTGAAATGTCTGATTTTATTAGTTTTGTTAAATTAGTAGATGTTAAAAAATAAATAATTCAACCAGGAAACTTCCTTGTAAACCTATTCTTTAATAAGATGTTTTTAGAAATGATTATCATTAAATACCCGAATAAAAAACAGAAAGTTTTTACCTGGATGTTCTAGTTCCAAACAAGGAGCATCAACATTTTCAGTAATCATCTAATATATTTGTAACCTTTTAATTATTAATAACTCTTTCTTGGGTAAGGCTTGTTCAGAAAAACATACCTTGCTTAAGAATCTGGGTTCTTTAAAAAACTGACCTGAAAATAAAATTTTTTATAAATAATGAAAAATTTGTTTTTGGTAAAGTCTAAAAATCATTTTTTATGACAAAAATACTTGTCAGTTCACAAGAAAATGTCTCTGGGTCAACATCATATTTGGTTCCATTGCAAACAATTAAATTAGCAGGGCTTCTAGACCTAATTAAAATAAATATTTTTAGCACTCTTATTTTGGTTGGCAGTGTTATAAAGTTTTTGGACAGAAATTTTCTCTTTATCAAGAAGGTTCAAGCCTTTTTAGAGTTGATTATAAATATAACGTAAAAAGGCAAGAACCTTCAAGATATAAAGAAAATTTAAGTCCAAAAACTTTATAGCATGTTTTTGTTTTTCAATCTTTTCAAAAACGATTTTTTTCATTTACGGAAAAAAACAATCTTTTTTAAAAACGATCTAATTGTTTTTAACTTTCAGAAAACGATTGTTTCTATAAAAAAGATTTGCGGGCGTTTTTTATATGATTGGTTTTTAAAAAACAATTGCTTTTAAAAAAACTATTGTTTTTGAAAAATAAATTTGTATTTGACAATTATGTTAACAATTTATAACCATCGTTAACAATCGTTATCGAAGGGTTGTTGTTTACGATTGCTATAAAAACAGTCGGTTTTGGAAAAAGATTGTTTTGTAAAAAAAAAATTACATGTAACTTTCTTACATGAAGTTAAACATTTGTGGGGGAGCTAAAACTTCTTGGTATTTTCTTAAAAGCTAATCAATGAAAAGTACAGATGCCCTTTAGGTCGGTTCCCTCTCTTTGCTAACAATAGTTAACGAAGGGTTGTCGTAAACGATCGTTAACAAATGGTCGTTGTTAATGATCTTTAACAAAGGGATGTTGTTAGCAATCGTTAACAAAACAACAAGTTTTATAAAAACGGTTGTTTAAAAAACGAACATTATGAAAAAACGAACTTTTTAAAAAATATTGTTTCATTTTCAATTTTTTGTCATTGTTTTCATGATGCAACGATCGTTTTTCAAAAAAATGAAAATGTTAACATCCCTTGTTATAGGTAATTTTAAGAAACATTAGTGTACTTGACTTATTTCAAAGGCTATTTCTAGATCAAATTAGCTTTGAAGTCAAAATTTAAAGTTGATTTCAATTTTATTTTCATCAATTGAAAAAAAATATTTTGGAAATATCCTAAATCTTTTGAAGAAAATCCGGGAACCAATTAAAACTTTATACCACATGTGCTATAAGGTACAGCTAATTTAACTTTACAGCACAAAGTTTACTTTTATGAAATTCACAATGAAGTGAGTTAGAATGATAATTAGTACACAATAGTATCTTAACAATTATACCAGTTAAATTTATCTTTAGCAATTATTTCACGATTTACAAACTTTTTATGACACCTGTAACCCTTATTGCACTGAAGTGAGCAAACTTCAGATTCCCCTTTGAGCCCACACTTCCAGGATCCATACTTGGGGTTTGATTGAACAGGACACCTTGAATTATATACATATATATTTAAAACAAAGATTGTGAAAGGATCAAAATATATTCAGAAATCACTATTATATGCAATGTTTTGACCTGGGTGTCTGGGTAAACAATTTGAAGCCCTTTATCCCAATTTTAGAGCTTACTTTTTACAATGAATATTTGAAGAATGAGGAATCCATCCTTGTTGTGTACAAACACTAGGTACATCAGTGCTAGGACTAAACCCGGTTTCACAGTCTAGCTTGCAAATGCTTCCTGTTTTATCTTCAACACAATCCTTAAATTATTTACAATTAAGTGCAATGCTTTATTTTTACAAATCTAAAGTTACAAAAAGTAAGTTTTATTTCCTAAGGCATAAGAAAATCAAAATATGTGATACATTTACTGTCCTTTATCTCAAATACAGTGAAGAGACACACATAATTTTTAATATTTTTTAGATGTATCTATATAGTTAACACCTGTGGGAGAGTGCAATCCCATTTTCCATGAGAAACCTTTTTCTTTGTCAAATCTGGACATATTTCTTCGACACAGGAAATATTGGTAAGTTTTGGAAGCTTAGGTATCCAGCCTAAAAAACACTGTTTAATTAACAAGTATTCTGAATAATTTATTTTTTTATTAATACCTAAAGAAGTACAAACAGTTTTAAGTTTTATCTCAGTGGTTAGCTCTCCTTTGCATCCTAGTCTAGCAGAATATATGGAAAAACAAAAGATATTTTTCTGGTTATAGATAATTTAAGCAACAGCTGACTTGATTTAAAAAATGAATAATAAATCAAAGAAAAATAAAAAACACAAATGGAAACTACATATACTGAGCATTTAAAAAAAATATCAAAATGAGAAATATATTATGATTCAGAAAAAGACTGAAAAAAAATTAACAAAATGGGTCGTTAATGAGCAAATTGAAAATAGGCAAAGACTGCCATCTCTACTAAACAAGAGAGGCCAAAGAGAAATCTTGATTATTGAGCTCTTCCAATATAATAACATAAGAGCAAAAGATATAAAATAGAGTGAAAATCATGTGTTTGTAACAGTAAAATGTTTTTAGAAATAATAACCTAACTTAAGCATTTCCCAGAAAGTATTATAAAGTTTATTAGGTAATGTTTAACCTGCAGCTTTCCCCAAAACTTGTTAAATTTGAGCATATCCATTGCAGTTCAGGCTGTAATTAAACTATATCAATATCTTAGTCCTATAAATAGAAAGTAAAACTTACATTGAATGGCTTTTCCAGGCTGAGTTTCTGACACTTTTCAGTAGCTTCGGACACAAGAATATAAAATACCACCAAAATTAAAAGCAACAGTTTTTCTTTCATTCTGATCTGTAATAACATGCATCTTAAGTTTAGGTTTACAATCTGGTTCAACATTAAGCAGATAACAAACCTTTAACTTTCAATTTTAACATTTGTATAACTAATTAACTCTAAGTTTTGTTTTTGCACTGACTTTCACAATACTGTTAAACAATGAGCATTGTATTACAAAATGAACATATTTACTTGATATGATACCTCTTCTTAATTGATGAAGACCCAGGTATTATTATCAGGTTTTAATCAAAATGGCCTCCGTCTCCATAAAACATCATCCATAAAGTAGGACGTAAAAACGGAACCATATTTTGGAAAAGCAGCTGTCTGATCTGAAATAAAAATTCTAAAAATTTGTTCATTCTAACTGCCTGCCTTGTACATATTTTCTCCAAAACTTTTGGCTAATACTATTATTTTTCAGAGATTGCTTGCATATGATATTCGTTAATTATATAATTGATGATGTCAGAAATAAAAAAGTTTAAGTAGATTAAAAGTAGCTTCCAACACTGGAAATTCAATACCTATTGTTGCTTAGTATTTCACCAGCTCTTTGTTACTCAGTGAGAAAATGAATTTGTGATTTCAGAAAAAATTCAAGATATTGTCAGAAATGATAAAGGTAAAGAATGGAAAGAAGAAAATGCTAAGGGATTGGAATGTGACCCCAATTTTGCATTTGTCTGCTTTTTGTGAAGATTAAAACTTGAAACAATAAACTTTGTGTGCTAAAAATAAAAATGACTAGTTAATCACAGTTAAGCATGATAGAGGGAATATTCCACTTTCCTTTGAACACTTTTAAAACTACTTTCAGTTGTGAAAATGTTCTGAACAATATATTTTGAATTTTGAATTTACCTGGAATACACTTCTAAAAACATTGAATAGTTTTAGTCTTACTATTAAAAGTATTATCAACTTTTGATACTTTTAACCCTATCCTGATTGGGCTATTTTTGTCTAATATAGATGGGGGGGGGGTGTATTCCACCCCCCCCCCCTCATTTTGCCCCTAGAGTTGAGATAGTGGAGATGCCCATAGTCCAACTTTTCATGGTCTACTCATTAAAAAAAAATACAACTCTATCTTAAGAAAAAAACAAAGGTGAGGGGGGGTGGAAAACTACCCCCCCTTAATTGTTCTTAAGCCCCTGATCTTTGATTCCCCCCCACACACCACCCCACCTCTGATTTGGGTTTCCCATTACTATCTGTATGGTCTCACATAGTCAAGTATTATTTCAGGACTAGCTATATCTTTTCGCTATTTTAAAAAGAAGGAAATATAATTCAGTTATAACATTGGAAAAAAAAGTATATGTACATATTTTTTGACAGTTTTGTAAATCTAAACAATATTTATCAATGAACTTTATTAATTTATTATCAATAATATTGTACTATAATATTTAAGTTTTGTTATTAGATTGGCATTCATCAACTTGTTGTGTTTTGGAGTATGCCTAATACTGTATTAATGAAGATGGTTTACCCTGTGAATTGTGAGAAATCCAGCTTAGGAAATCCTTTAGATGTAAGTGAAGAGAATCTTAATTGATTAATTGCTAATAAAAACATATTTTGGATTTTTAAATTATATATAGTAGTAAATGGCAAAAAAAAATATTTAGGAGTCCTTTCAGACTAAAAATGTTTACTCTGAGTAAACTTTAAAAACAGAGAAAATATCTTTTTAAACGTAAATTTAGTAAAACATTTTTTGTGTGATAAAAAGACTTTTCAGATTGGCCTCTCAAAAGTAAAAAACTGAAATGCTTATAAAAACATGGATACTAAAAAATGCCAATTATGACACATGAGGGGAAATAATTTAAACCCCTCAATGTCAATTAAATTCAATGTTTTAGGCTAATTTTAAATGGAATTGTTCTGATCACCCCAATCTGGGAGAAAATTGTGGGTTAGTTGTTTTTTATCATTTTATAATTTTGAAATTTCATTAAAAACAACAATCACCATCTGACAAAATAATGATTTTTTTACATTTATTACGTCTTGTAAATAATATTTTAATTCAGTAATAAATTTTCAAAAAAGATTAGGATGCTCAAAGAACCTAATTCCATTTAAAGATTTCAACACAATCTGCACACCAGAAGGTAAGTAATGGTTTATGCAATATGCATTTTTTGAAGTTTTTAAATTCAGAAGGGAATACAAATTATAAAATTGAAGTTTGGGTCAACTGTTCAGTTCCTTTGAAATTTCAGAACAGAATAAACCCAAATAAGAGCTCATATCAGTTAGCAAATTCAGAAGTTAAAATTAAATATAGTATTAATCATATATGATCTGAAAGGATGGAAACCTAACCCAGTAGTGGAAAGAGATCTGATATGTGTTGAAGATGTTTGCCCAAATTTGCACAATGAAACTGTTGAGTATGGAAAATGGTCTTGCAATCCTCCGGTTCAGGTATAAGAACACCTCTTTAAACTTTGCAGAACATGCTTTATATATTTTCTGTTTAAACTTCTTTTTTTCTGTTGAGAAAGTTTATTAATTGCAACTTTCATGTCACCTCTTGTATCTTACCCTTAATCCTTATACAATAACCAAGAGAGATTCTTTTCTCTTACCTCCCCATAAAGTACTCTTATGATTTTTGTTTTGTTTATAAAATCAATAGGATAATATGTTTATTATATACTTATCAGGATAATTTTCAGAGCTTCCTATTTAGAGTTTAAGAGTAACAATTAAGCTAACTTCTGTGTTTGAAATAAGTTATTTTCTTGACTCAATATCTATTCCTTCAAAATTTGGACTTTCCTAAAATCAAATTTTGTCAGCAATATTTTGTTCCATAAAGAAACTGAACACTTGCCACAAAATCTAATTTTTTCATCCTTGAATCTTTGAAACCTGATGTTTACATTTGATATTTCAAACTTTGACTACTTAATCTGTTATATTTGATAGATTGCAAAGATATAAGTGTTTAAGAGTTAGAATTTGTGGCAAGTGTTCAGTTCCTTTGAACCATAAAGATAATTTGATTTGAGTTCTATTTAAAATTTTTTTACATTCTCCCAAAAGATTAGCAAGTACAATAGATGGAACGAGATTGCGACGAATGCATGATAACATTTGTGTCAAATGTAACGTGGTTTTAACTCATTCTTTTAGTGCAGAAGAAAGAAAACAATAGTAATTATATATATTTCATTGCCACCTATTGTACTTGATATTATATTTGCATTGTCCTTCAATTTTTAATCTTTATATGTCACATTGTTTAAAAAAAGATTAAAAAAGATATATTTAGGCTTCATGTGCTGAAAAGAAAGTTGGGAGCTTGTGCATGTTAAATTGTGAAAATGGCTTCAAGCCATCCAGAGGACAATACACTGTCTGTACAGATCAAGGATGGACACCGGGTTATATAAACCTTGGCTGCTTCAAGTATTGTTTTTAAATTACAGAATGATATTAGTCTTTTAATTAGAATTACTGCCAAGGATTTTGTCAGCAGTAACTGTGATAAATAGCATCTCTGAAAATGAGGACACATAAAGGCTATTTCTAATATTAAAAAAAACTTTTACTCCAGTTTCTATTAAATCGCAGAAAAACAAAAAGAAGAAAGTCTTGAAATCTACCGGTGAAATCAATTTTAGATGTCCAACTCCTAAAAAGCCACTCAATGGACAATGGATCTGTGGACACAAGCAGGATTCAGAAATGTGTCTGCTAAAGTGCAACGCAGGTTATAGGTAGTTTATTCAATTCAAAAATACTTTCTTTAAACTATGAAAATATTCTTTAGTAAAATGATTTAAGGTCTTCAGCCCCTGGAATAATTGTTTGCAATGGAGGCTCATTTGATGTTAGTCCTGAGGAACTAACTTGTGATCAAACAAGTATGAACCAGTCTGAGATTATTAACTTTGACATTATCAGGACAAGAACCTTTTTAAAATTTTTAAAATTATTAATTTAGGAGAACATGTAAAAGCAGTCAAAATGCTTGAGGTAAGCATTTTTCATAATATATGAATGATCATACAGGGATATGCGTTTTCATATTATGTTAAACAAATGTTTGACTGTTTTTTTTGTTGATACTTTTACAGAAACCCTATCCACCCAAGAGAGACAACTTGAAATGTGCAAAGCTTAAAAATCCAGGTGAAAAAAATCATTTAATGTTTTATTAAACAATTTAATACAAAATTTTAGCACAAAATATTATGTTTATCTTCATGATAATATGTAGTGTAATTTACACATGCAGAAAATGGGCGATGGCTGTTTCACTCACAGTCAGAATATTATCTTGTTTGCGATGATGGTTACGATTTGTCTAGTCCTGTTTCTATTAGGTAAGGTTTTGTCAAATAAGGTTCTCCAAAAGAACGAAATAGTTTAACTGAAACATTCACCTGCCAATGATAGAGAGGGTTAAGGGTCAAAAATTAAAATACCTCTTCAAAGCTGTTTAACCCTTTTGCACCTGAAGTTGATTATTGCCTTCTCAATTTCTCAAGTGCCAGAAATACTGAGAAACCTATAATTATCTGACAAAAATGTTGAGAAAACATTTATTCTTTCAAATTGTGCAATTAAAACAAATGTGAAAAAAAGTAAAAAACCCAAAAAAGACATAAATTGCTTTACAGGCACTTGAAACAATCCAATAAAGACTTGTTGGGCATTTCAATACATTAAATATTAGATTTACAGATATATAAAGTAGAAAATGGACAAGTTTTCATACTTTTTGTGATTTTTAATAATTCAGTATTTAATGTTTTCCATTTAATCATAATTTTAATCAAAAATGGGCAGACAGGAAAGGATTAGTTATAGCAATACAATATTGGAGTTCCCATACAGAGAGGATAAATCCCCAAACAGAATTTCTGAACTTACCGACACTACTGTGCAATTTTCTCTCTGTGTGAAAGGGTTAAGTTTTAAAATGGTGTTTCAGTATTGATCCATTTTAAAAATTCAGGTGTAAATCTGGTCTGTGGTGTTCAGAACAGCTGGGAATAACCTGCCAGCTTGAGATTGAGTCAGATCATGAGATAGAAGAGGCCAATAGATTGCAAAAAGATAATGAGGATTGTGATGATAAGGTAGCTGATGTGTAGAGTACCTTTTCAAAATTATTTGTGCAATTACCCATAACAAATTTTAAAAAATCATTTGTGTCTTTCTTAAAATAAATGATTAGACTCCAGCACTCCTCCTTGCACCAGTGATGGTCCCTGTTGAAGATGCTTCAGATTACAGTAAAAATTTTATTCATTAATCAAGTTTTAAAGTTTTGTCAGGACCTTATTATATATTTAGTCTAATTCTATAATCCTATACTATAATACTATAATGTAAGCCTGCAATTAAGAGTAAAAATACCATTTTCAGAATTATTTCAACATCTATTATTTGCCCTCATTTTGTTAGTATTAACACACTTTTGGGACTAGGCTGACAGTGTCAATAACTGATTTTTTTCTGGCAATGAGATTTGTATAAATATTTGTTGTGTTTATAATAGATAAGATTCTTCAACTTATTGTAAATTTTAGGTTATAAATGGCCGTATGGAATAAAAGTATTTGCTGTACCTGAATCTCATGGGACGGGAAGCTTAAAACCCTTAGAAGTTCCAAAGCAAATCCAGGAAGAAAATGACGATTTTACGGATCACGATAAAACAAAAATAAGCTCATCACATAAAACTATGAAAAAAATGGGGAATCCTTACAATACCATAACTTCTAACAGTTCTATATCCACAGACCTAAGTGTATCTAATGATTTAAATAATTCAACAACTACTATGACCTACACTTCATCAGACCCAGTCAAGAAGTCAACAGTTTCTTCACCACTCTCAGAACCATTAGAAAATGTAGAAAATTTATCAACTAATAGGTCAAAGACTTCAGGATATGTGACCTTGCAAATAGTAATTTCTAAAACTTCATCAATGGCAACATCTAATAATGAAGAGTCAGAAATTCAAGCTAGCTCAACCACACAACTAACGTCACTATCTAGTCTGGAGGGTGACTTATTATTTTCTTCAACTCAAATAGAATCAACAACTGTTGCTGACAATGAAGATGTGAACATTTCTACTGAACTTGGTAAAATTTTAAATACAACCATGATAAACTTTATTGCTAATGAGACAGAGTCCTTTTTCAAAACTACAGGAGAATTCAGTTCCAGTAATATTGAACCTAATGATAATAAAGCAAGATCAAAATACAGTTTGGACAATTTGGATTTAAAAGATAACCAAACTGCTCAGGGAAACAGTTCTAGAAATGAAGAGCCATCCAGTAGTCAAAATTCAACAAATGGTATGCCAGGCTATGGCTTTGAAGTAAAAAAACAATCTAATGGTTCCAGTTTGAAGATGATATCTGAAAACCGGACCTTTCTCACTACAGCAGACAAAAGTTCTGATTTAAAAACAAATTTAGATGACTTAACCACAACAGAGTTTAGTTCTGGAGAGACTAAGCTATCAAGTGATCATGCACCAAAACTGAAAGTGTATGGTTCAGGAGAGACTGAATCATTTGGTGATTTAACTTCACCAGAATATGGATCTGGAGAGACAGAGTCATCCAGTGATGTGACTTCATCAGAATATGGTTCTGAAGAAACCAAATCATCCAGTGATGTAACTTCACCAAAGTATGGTTCTGGAGAGACAGAGCCATCCAGTAATGTAACTTCACCTAAATTTGGTTCTGGAGAGTCAATTTCTTCCAGTAATGTGACTCCAAAGAAATTTGGTACTGGAGAGACCAAATCATCCAGTGATTTAACTTCAATGAAATATGGTTCTGGAGAGACCAAGCCATCTAGTGATGAAACTTCACCAAAAAATGTTTCTAGAGATACTGAGTCATCCAGTGATGTGACTTCACCAAATTATGGTTCTGGAGAGACTGAGTCATCCAGTAATGTAAATTCCCCAGTAAATGTTTCTGAAGAGACCAAGTCATCACATGAAGTAACTTCACCCATATATGGGCCTGCAGAGAACAAGACAGCCAGTGATGTTATTTCGCCAAATTTTGGTTCTGGAGAAACTGAATCATCGTTGAAATATGATTCTGGAGTAACCAAGCCATCCAGCAATGGAACTTCACCAGAATATAATTCTGAAGAGATGAAGTCATCCAGTGCTCTAACTTCACCAGACATTGTACTTGAAGAGACTAAGTCATTCAGTGATGTTACTTCACCAAAATTTGGTTTTTCTGGAGAGTACAAGACATCCAGTGATGTTATTTCTCCAAACTTTGGTTCTGGAGAGACTGTATCATCTCGTGATGTAACTTTACCAGAATATGGTTCTGTAGTTAATGAGTCATCCAGTGATGTATTTTCACCAAAGTATGGTTCTGGAGAGACTGAGTCATCCAGTGATGTAACTTCACCAGAATATGGTTCTGGAGAGACTGAGTCGTTAAGTGATGTAACTTCACCAAAATATGGTGCTGGAGAGACTAAGTTGTCCAGTGATCAGACTTCACCCAGAAATGATTCTGGAGATACTGAGTCATCCAGTGATGTAACTTCACCAGAATATGGTTCTGTAGTGACTGAGTTATCCAGGGATGTAACTTCACCAAAGTATGGAACTGGAGAGACAAAGTCATCCAGTGATGTAAATTCTCATAAATATGCTACTGAAGATACAAAGTCATCTAGTAATATAACTGGAGTCCCTCAGTCATCTGCTGATGTTTCTTCACCTGATTATGGTTCTAAATTGACTGAGTTATCCAGTGATGTAACTTCACCAAAATATAGTTCTGTAGAAAACAAGTCATCCAGTGATTTGACTTCACTAGAATATGGTTCTGGAGAGACTGAGTTATACAGTGATGTAACTCCACAAAAATATGGCTCTGGAGAGACAAAGTCATCTAGCGGTGTAACAACTAATCAAAAATACATTTATGGGAAGACAGTATCACCTGAAGAAAGCTTTTCACCATGGCATTTCAGTTCTGGGGAAGCACACTCACCCTATATTACTAATACATTTAAATCAATATCTAGTTCCCAGGAAAGAGGCTTACCAGGTAGTTCAACTGAAACGTTGTCAAAAACTTTTCCTGATACATCTGAAAGTTCAACTAAAGCATCAACACATACAGAGAGCTTTTTGCCAAGTCATTTCAGCTCTGAAGATATTGGAGAGATGGAGTCATCCAGTGATGTAGATTCACTGGAATATGGTTCTGGAGAGACTAAGTCATCTAGTGATGTAACTTTACCAAAATATGGTTCTGGAGAGACTAAATTGTCCAGTGATGTGACTTCACCCAGATATGGTTCACATGATACTGAGTTATCCGGTGATATATCTTCACCAGAATTTGGTTCTGGAGAGACAAAATCATCCAGTGATGTAACAACTAATCAAGAATATATTTCTGGGAAGACTGAGTCTTTAGGTAGTTCAACAGCCGCACCTGCAGAAAGCTTTTCACCAAGGCATTTCAGTTCTGGGGAAGAACACTCATCAGATATCCCTACTACATATAAATTAATATCTGAACTCAGTTCCCAGGAAACAGGCCTACCTGGTGGTTCAACTGAAACTTTATCAAAACACATTGTTTATTCTAGTGATACATCTAAAAGTTCAACTAAAGCAGTAGCACATGCAGAAAGCTTGTTGCCAACTAATTTTAGTTCTAGAGATATTAAGTCATCAGATATCTCAACTACATCCAAAAAAAGCTCTGAGCCGACAGGTATATCCAGCAGCTTAACTGAGAGCAATGCAGTCCCCACAGAGAGCTTTTCACCAAGCTATTTTAGTTCTGGAGAAACTCAATCATCTAATAGCTCAACTGCACCTTTTTTAAACTCTGACCTCAGTTCTAAGATAATTGATTCAACAAAAAGATCAACTGAGATCTCAACTGCAGCCTTAATGGATGGTTCTGATGAGTCAATTTTGAACAAAACTGTACCTAAAGCTAGTTTTTTATCAAGAAGTTTTAGCTCTGGTCAGGTATATTCTTCTGATAGTTCAACTACATCTGAATTGAACTTAGGTCTCAGTTCTGGAGAGACACATTCACCTACAAACCTAACTGAGAGTTATGGTTCTAAAAGCTCAACTGAAAATGGTCTCCCAACAAGATTTTACCCAGGGGGGAATGACACCTCATCTACAGAAGTGACTGATATGTCTACAACTTTCACAAAAACAGTACCTGCAGCTAGCTTTTCACCCAAACTGTTTAGCTCTGGTGAGGTACAATCTTCTGATAGTTCAACTACATCTGAACTGAACTCAGGCCTCAGTTCTGGGGAGACACTCTCACCTACAAGTTTAACTGAGAGCTCAAGTGCAGTAGAGTATGTTTCTAAAAGCTCAACTGAAAATGGTCTCACAACAAGCTTTTACCTAGGGGCGGCTGAGAGCTCATCTACAGAAGTGACTGATATGTCTACAACTTTGACAAAAACAGTACCTGCAGCTAGCTTTTCACCCAAACTGTTTAGCTCTGGTGAGGTACAATCTTCTGATAGTTCAACTACATCTGAACTGAACTCAGGCCTCAGTTCTGGGGAGACACTCTCACCTACAAGCTTAACTGAGAGCTCAAGTGTAGTAGAGTATGTTTCTAAAAGCTCAACTGAAAATGGTCTCACAACAAGCTTTAACCTAGGGGGGACTGAGAGCTCATCTACGGAAGTGACTTTCACAAAAACAGTACCTGCAGCTAGCTTTTCACCAAAACTTTTTAGGTCTGGTGAGGAACAATCTTCTGATAGTTCAACTACATCTGAACGGAACTATGGCCTCAGTTCTGGGGAGACACCCTCACCTTTAAGCTTAACTGAAAGTACATCTGCATCAATGTATGGTTTAAATAGCACCATTAATGATTTGTCAACAACAAGCTTCCATTCAGGGGGGACAGAGAGCACATCTACAGAATTGAGTGGGATTTCTACAATTTTGATCAAAACAGTACCTGTGAAAAGCTTTTCACCAAGGATATTTAGCTCTGGTGAAGTACAATCTTCTGATAGTTTAACTACGTCTGAATTAAACTTGGGCCTTAGTTCTGAGGGGACAGACTCACCTACAACTCTAACTGAAAGCTCAACTCCAATGATATATGGTTTCAACCACTCAAAGGATGATTTTTCAACAACAAGCTTCCATTTATTGGGAAATAAGAACTCATCTGCAGAAGTAAATGGGATTTCTACAATGTCTTCCAAAGAAGCACCTCCAGAGAGTTTTTCTGCAATGCATTTCACTTCTGGTAAAGCACTATCATCTGATGGTTCAACAACAATGGAACCAAGTTCTGTGATACCCTTTAAAGCTGATAGCTCAACTCTGAAAACAGAAAGTAAAAGCCCACCATATTCAAATAGCCAGGACCAAGGCTCAACAATTAGCTTTAATGCAACTATTTTTAATAGAAACAAAATAGATTTATTCAGTAACCCTGAAACTAATGTATCTAATAGTGAAGAAGCAAAATTATTATCTACTACAAGTACATCAGCAACTTATTCTAATTCTGGAGGTTTAGAAACATTAACCATTTCCACAACACAGGAACTGAGTAAGAAAGGTACAAAATTTTATGAGGCATCATTTAGTCCTTTGGAACTAAACTTGACAAAACCAACATTTTCCAGTTCTGTATCAACTGAACGTTATAGTACCACAGCATCAAGTAGTGGAAGAGAAGGGACTGAGTCTTCATCAAGCTTTTTCAGCACAGAACAGATAGGTTTCAACAGCAAAGATGAATACCAGGCAAATGACTACAAATTAGATAGCACAAAGAATAAGACAACAACTGCACAGGAATCCACTGATGATATTCAGGGTGAGCCTAAAAGTCTGCTTACAACAACTGCTTCAACATTTTCTGAAAGTTCAGACTTAGGACTTGCATTTCGAAATGATGTTGATGTTTCTGAAGGTCAAACATCAACAGTATCTAGTATGAATGACTCAGAATTAACTGATAACCCATCTATTCTTGTTTCTAATAGCTTAGAATTGGAATTTTCGAATAGCAACAACACTTCTGAAAAACAGGAACAATCAGATGATATAAAAGTGGAAGATGGCTTAAATTCTGGATTTGAATCATTTTTGAGCTCAACTACAAAAAATGGGTTAGTTGAAAATATCAAAAATAAATCAACACAGTCAAGAAAAAATGATAAAAAACGAAAAAAATTCAAAAAAATGACTTTTGCTTTAACCAACATTTCAACATTTCAAACTGAGCTTAACTTAGATACCCCCGACTCAGAATCAAATAAGCTAGAGTTAGTATCAAACTCAATTACGATTCCGCCTTTAACAATGCTCCAGACATCCACATTATCTGCGGATATTAATGAAAATGTTTCTGATCCTCAGCCAGTTAATGAATCCATTGTGACAGAAGAGAAATATTTAACAATTGACAAAACATTTATAATTTCCGATTTAAATCTTACAAATAAAATTTTAAACAATTTTGAGGTTGAAAATAAAACTTTTAATCAAGTTTATGATATAAATGAAATTGATGATTATGATGGCCTAGAAGACACACCATTCAAAGTCATAAAATTAATTAGCACAATCTATGAGAATGGAACAGTGAAAAAAAGTCTTAATGAAACAACATTTGCAGACAATAAGGGAAAACCAACCAAAAATCATGATGAAAATAGAACTGTTAAATTAATGAAAGTAGATTCGTACATTCTTGATAATGGGACTAATTTACTCAATATGTCAGAAGCAAGGCTAGTGGCAAACCAAACTCAAATTGATGAATATAATAGGCTTTTAAACAGTCCTGCACCAAACTCAACAACAATAAACAAAGTCAAGACTAAGACAGAAGTCTCCCCACAAGGGACTAAGGTAGTCAAAACAGTTGACAAACTAAATATAACAGATTTAAACAATTATACAACAGTCCTACCAGAAGGAATTGAAACAAATTTGCCAACAATATCAACATTTGATGCAAACAATACAGGTATCTTGTAAAAAGAAAACTCAAATTAGATTTCACCTCATTTATTTATTATTATTTTTTAGAGAAAGTTGCTCAAAATTGTCTTGGAACTCCTGTAGCAGTTTCAGGCTTAGAGTATAACTGTCATCCTTCTATTCCACCTTACAGTGAGTGTGAATTGAAATGTGCAGATGGGTTTGGTCCTACACAAAACAAAATCATCTGTGATACACAGAGGTACTAAATTTTATAATTTGTTTTGGAGTTCTCAAAACCTCTCTTTTGAAAATGAAATGCAAGCATTAAACAATCACTTTTTTTAGAAAACATAATTGATTTAAAAATAATAAATGCCTATAGGATTTTGATTCTTTAATATTTCTATAATTATTCTATAATTATTGACAAACTATCTACTTAATCTACTTTTAGCAATGACTAGAAAATTTAACTATTTTCCTTGATCAAGCCTTTATGAATTTGTAAATTAATTAAGATGAACTTATAGAAAATATCTAAAGCTGAATTCAGATCTGACATGCATATATTTTAAGATTTTAATCTATAAAACGCTGTTAAAACTTATGTAGTTTGTCTTAGTAGAGTAGTAGAATTGCATATTTACATACAATCAACTTTTAGAGAACCCTCATGGATACTTGAAACTAAGATTGAATGCTTGGGTAACTTTTATAAATTTTAAAACAAATAAAATAATAAATGAAACTATATGATCTCAGATTATTTGTATCAGAATGCAACAAAAATGCTGCAAAAAAGAATGAGAAATGTCAATGTGAAGTTGGATTTGCTGGGGATGGTATTGGATGTGGAAAGGACTCTGATCTTGGTAACTTATTTTTTTTTAAATGATCTCAATATCATTTACTATTTTTTCAGATGGATACCCGGATGAAGCTGTACCAAACTGTAATGACACATTTTGCGCAAAAGACAACTGCCAAACTATAGTTAATCCAGATCAATTAGGTCAAACTTGTAGTTAAACATTTTCCACGCATAAAACTATAAAAATCTCGATAATTAACAGTTTTAGAATTTTACTATACAAGAAGTTCTAATAGATACTGATGGAGATGGCCAAGGAAATGCATGTGATCAAGATCAGGTTTACAACTTTGAAAAAGATTAAGTACAAAAATCATCTTTTTACTTGTTAAGGATAATGATGGAATATCTGATAAAGGACAGGTTGGTTTATTACTAATTTTGAAATATTTGTCTGTTTCAATGGAATGTCTGAGTAAGGAAGGAGGTGATTTTGGTTTGAATTACATTGATCTACAGTCTTAAATAAAAACTCATTTCCAAATAATAATTTTAGGGAACTCTAAAATGTAAAGAAAATGAAGTAGAAAGACTGATGAAATTCTTAGGAAATATATCAATATATTTACACCAATTCTTATTAATTTTTGACTGATCAGAACTGGGCCTCCTACATAAAGAAATTGAAATTTCAAACTTAAATTATTTTAGAATTAATAGTTTGAAATATTAAAGGTCTACAACATTGGGTGGCAAAGATATAGGAATAAGAGTTTGTGACAAAGACTCTATTCCTTTTTAAGAATTTGTAAGGTTACTGCCATTATGCATTATAAAAGAGATTCGATTCAACTTCCAAATTTCCCAATTTTTCAATTTTATGTCTTACAAATTTATTTTTCACAAATATATAAATGATATACTGTAGAGAATTTCAAAATAAATGCTCTCTTGAAACCAATTGAACAAGAGAACCTTGACATGGACAATGTCAAAGAAGCAAGAAAGAGACAGCTGAATTGCAATTCTAAAATGGTATCATTTAAATTAATAATTCGGAATTAAAATTGGAATGAAAGGAGAAAAATTTTGATTCAGGAAAATCCAGACAACTGCCCTATTACTAAAAATCCAAATCAGGAAGACAAGGATGAAGATCAAGTTGGCGATGCTTGTGACAATTGTCCAGATGTATTTAACATGTTTCAAGAAGTAATCAAAGTTTATTAAATTACAGGGGTATTTCAAGAGCTTTAACTTACAAAAATCAATGTAGGACAATGACGAAGATGGCATTGGAGATGCATGTGATGATGACAATGATGGAGACGGTGTAAAAAATGAACAGGTTTATTCTTTATTGTAAAATGTGTTGATTCTCTGTTGATCACTAGATCAAATTATTTATTGAGGGGAAAAAATGGCTTATGCCAATAATCAAAAGAGTTAAAGTCTACAGATATTTTACTGTCCAAACATTATTTAGAGCAAATATCATATCATGAAGAGCAAATGTGCTCTATAAGATAAAGAACAGAGCATAAGGTCAATATTACTTAGTGAATGGAAAAATGGCTAAAGAGAAATTGTTATCATGCTAGTATAGAATATGAAATGGGAATGTATAATGGTATCTAAAGAGCTTTCAAGAGCTTAAATATCAAACCTTTATACTCTCTAAATAATAAACTTTAAATTTGAAGCAGCACACTCAAAAATTAGTGAATTAAATCAAATTGTCCAACATAAAATCTAATAACATTTTTGAGAATAATTATTTTTTTCATAGGATAATTGTCCTATGGTTTTCAATTCTGACCAGGTACTGAAATCTTTTGATATTACCAAGTTCTTCAAATAAAACAGGATATTTATTTGCTACTTAAACTAAAATTTTTATTTTGTGGACCCAAATTTTTTGTTAAATAATATTTAGTTTATATAAAAGGTGAGTGTGAATAAACTTAACAAAGTTAGGTTTAAAACAGGAGAAGAATTGGTTTACGCAACACAAAATTTCATTCTGGCAGGATTCATGTTTTAGGAAAAGAAATAGGCAAACATTTCAAAATTGTTTTGTAAAACTGAGCTTATCCCATTTTTTTTAACTCACTCTGTAGTTAATACATTTTTCATTTTCTCATTTATCTTAACAATCCCATTAAGAAAGATCAAGATGGAGATGGTTTTGGAGACTTGTGTGATAATTGTGTCCTTGTTAGTAATTGGAACCAGGTTATAAGTTGATACTAAAATTTTAAACTTATCATTGTTTCTTGAATTCCAAACAACTACCGTAATTAGACAGACATAAAACAAACTGGAGTAGGAGATGCTTGCCAAACAGGAGAAGACTTAGACGGGTAAAAATAAACACATTTTTTGATGTTTAAAAGCTTATAAAAATCCTTTTTGGTCCAATATATCAAAAATAACAGAAAAAGCATATTAAGGGATGGATTGTATGCAACAGATAACTGCAAAGATGTTGCAAATATAAATCAGCTTGACACAGACAAGGATGGTAAGAATATTTATCACCTGGTAATAGACAAGTATGAACAGTCACTTTTACCACACCCCTCTTTTAAAAATTACTTTTCCTCCAGCTATGTTTGCCAATTTTAAATCACTAAATTGGAGAAATGAAATAATTTTGGAATCTCTGAATCATGAGTCTCAAAAAGTGCAGGTAAACCTTGTCAGTAGATTTTCAACTTGTTATTTTCTTTCACCAAGCCCAGAGCATCAAAAAACACTATTTAGTAATCAGTAATTCTCAAAAAATATAATACTCTGGACTCAAAAGATCATATTTTAGAAGTACATTTATTGCTTCTAGGTGTAAATACATGACAAAAAACGAGTTAAATGTGTGAAAGGAGAGGAAGATGAGTGGGTCCAGAATCCAACGCATCTGATTTTTGGATTTTATAATCCTCTACAGTATACATATTTTATTTCCCATTTGGAAATACATTTTAATTTTTTAGGTAAAGGAGATGCATGTGACCCAGATATTGATAATGATGGAATATTGAATGAAAATGACAATTGCATTTTTGTTGCTAATACTGATCAGGTTTTAATTCATCCTGAACTAACCCCATCAATAAAATAAAAAGCTGAAGCGATTTTCTTTAGATTTCTTCAGAAACAAATCCTGAACTAGGAAAATCTTGTGAGCTGGACAGGTCTAAATTTTATTCCAATTATCAATATTGTTTACTTATTAGAATCTTTCAGAGATGGGGACGGAGTACCAGACAACTTAGATGCTTGCCCGTTTAATCGAGATATAGCCAAACAAGACTTCTATAAGAGGCATTTATTTTTACTAAATTAAAACTTAGTTAAAACCCTAAATTATTAGAGAGTAACAATATTATTTTCTAGGAATATAAAAACCATGAATCTATGCACATTAGCACAATCTGCTGGTAAGAGTGTCAATTTTTTAAAACTTTATACTTTGCTCGAACAATTGTGTCAGGCCTCTCTGGATTGAACATGTGCAATAAGCCAGATCCACAATGGGAAGACAGAAAGAATGGAACTGAACTCTTTCAAGCCATTAATAGTAGGGTAAGGAGAGGTTTAATGGGATCACAATAAAAGAAGTTCATATTTTTTTATTCTAGCCTGGTATAGCAGTCAATAATAAAAATGTCTTTCAAGATGTTGAGTACAACGGTACACTTTATGTTCAAGATACAACAGATGATGATTGGGTAAGACTAAAAGAAATAAAATGTAAGAATTAATAGATCAGGCACTTATCTTGTAATATATTAAGTTTTAATTCTTTTTATTCATGAAGAGAATGCGTTATTGTAAAATTTATGATATTTAAATTTTTTAAATTTTATTGTTTTACAAAATGTATTGATTAAATAGATGATGGTCAACACAATTAAACATATGCAAACACCCTGTTACAGTTCTTGATGTGCTTCATTTTCTGCACTTCACTCTTGTTTTCCAATGTTTAATTTGGAGAAGTTGGAAGTTAGGAGAGGGTTATTGAGGAAATTTTAATTGCTGAAAAAAGTCTTCTATTTCCTCGATTTATAGTATTTTCGACTTGTGTGGAATTGATGAACTCATATAGTTTTGCACCATGCTATGCATATGAGGAGTACAAATATCCTTTTTATACCCAACTCTGGATAAGATCTTCCATACCAATCCAATCTTAAGAAACAGATAAGTTCCAGTTCCATTTTTATGAGCAGACCAAGTACAAAACCAGTATCAGTGGGTATTTATTCCTGATTTATGAGTTTCGATATTCCTTCTTAAAGCTGAATGTACCAAAGAGAAAAGCTACAGATGAAGTTTTACTATTTATTTCCTTTATTCCTATATCTTGCCTGGAATGAATTCTTGCATTACAATGCTTTAACTACTGTCAATCTTGGGACCGCTCTCATGCCCTCTCCCGGCCCCGTTTCATTGAGAAGGAATTTTGGAGGACCTCTCCTATAAGCGAGTAATAAACTATACTGCTTTAATATCAATTAATATTCAAAAGTTTCCTTTTTTCAAGGTTGGTTTTCTGTTTGGATTTCAAGATGTCTTTAACTTTTACATAGTTATTGCTAATAAACATCCAAAAGGAAAAGGGTTTACATAAATATTCATTTCTTTAAAAAATGTTGTATCATTATTAAACAAAGAAATTGTCAGTGCTCAGCATGTATTCACTATTCTATCTTAAATAAAAGGTTTTAGATGTTACAGTTTAATTTGAAAAATTGTTAAGTCTTTTTTTGTTATGCTTCAAGTATTACAAAATCTTTAAGAATCCTGGGAGCCAAATGCAGTCGCCCTTGTAAAGAAAATTTCAAAACAATTCAGATACAAGGATTACTACATACTTTCACTAATCAACAAAGCCAAAAAGTTGGACAAATATTGAATCCTTAACATTGAAATAGTTTTCTTTGTTCCAGTTTCACTAGCTCTATGTTAAAAATTGTCGATGAAAGAAATAAGACTACATTTCAAGCTTATTACTCTGTAAAGTGTAAACCCTAAATCATTAAGGTGGAAAGGGAAGATGTCCTACATACAAAAATACTTGACATTTTTATGAATACATATTTTAAATGAACTATACATTTTATTACATTTTTCTAAAAGGAACTTTTACTTAATATAGCTCCTTGTTTTGTCCTACATACAAATAAAAATTAGTCGTAAATTCATGTAAAATGTAAATATAACATAAAAAGGTGCTAGGACATGTTCACTGAAATAGAAACCGGATCCAAGTAAGATATTTTTTTTTAACATTTTATGAATCTGAGCAATTAAAAACACTGTTTTAAAGTGTGGTGGGCCATTAAGAAGATACAACTGAAAAATGTGACAGAACCTGGTATTGCCTACAAACAAATGATGGTTGCTCTGAAGAATATAGGAGACAGGGAAAATGTTTCAACAAACCTTTGGGAGGTAAATATCTGTAGCACTTGTAACATGTCATTTGATCCTGAACTTATATTTCTGACCCTGAGTAGGACTGTGCAATATTCCGTTTACAAGAAGCAGGTTTTTAAAAATTAAGGAATGGCAAAAACTCTTAATTTTGAGTAAATTTGCAAAGTTGGCGTATTTTACCTTACTGTTTTACAAACAATTTCTAAAAGTCTAAATGTGCCAAGCACTAATCCTACAAAAAGGCTTGGTAGTAACTTTATAGGTTAGGTGGTGTATATGAAGGAAAACATTCTAAGTTTTGATTTCCCTACTACAATAAAAGACATTTTTGTGTTGAGAAATTTTTTGTAATTTATAATGTACTTAATGTTGTTCATAACTTCCAATCTAAAAACCTGAAAAAAAACAATTGCCATCTGGAAAATAACCCTGAAAGATCCTGAATCCTTCAGCTCATTAAAAAGAGTCTAAACTTTAAGTGAAAATATGCATTCTTACATTAAACTTCTAAAGGATCCGCAGAAACAACAGTGGTCTCGTAGAAAACCTTACAAATGGAATATAATACATCTACCCTCGAAGGTAATTTTATGATGCAATAATAAAATCAAGTATTTGATTCTATTAACAAAAAAATTTAAATGCATAACTTCTAACTTCTGTCCAGGGTGTAATGAGATTAAAAATGTTTGCAGATGGAAGAGAAATTCTTGATTCTGGAGATGTTTATGTAAGTATATCAATCATCATAAAACAAACAAACTTTTTCAGAAAATTGTCTAATTATCATCTTAGGATGCTAAACCAATACTTGGTGGAAAAATTGGATTTTATTTAAGCAGTCAGAAAGATGTTCTTTATTCAGATCTATCTTTTAGATGTTTGGACCCAGAGAAAAGGTATGTAGCAACTGTATTATTGCCGACCATCTTTAATTAATTTCAAAAAATATCTCTGAATGCAACTTTATAAACTGACCTTAATTTAAGAATTTAATTATAGCCCTAGAATAAAAAAATCAGCAATTATAAATTCGAACTGTACCATGCAGAGAAAAACTTATTTTTATTTATATTCATAAAAATATATATCCCTATGAATATGAAATTAAAATTAGTTAATTAAGATGAATAAAACAATCTAATTAAAATTAATAAATTTTGGGTTTTAGGAAAACAATTTTTCAAATTCTGCAGAACATTTTTTCACTATAATTGTATTGTGTTACATAACCCTATTCAGCTTTTTAATAGCCTGTCTACTTACTAGGGCAAACCTTACTGAAACTGGAAAGGACTACAATAATGATGGACCAGAAAACAACTTATCAGGAAACAAAAATGTAACTAATTTAAATGATGACAAGGAAAAAATGTTATCATTAAATAAAACTGACACAGAATCAACAACAATAGGTAATGTAAGAAATAATACATTAACAATTCTATTTGTAACCAAGATGGACAATGATGGCTCAAAAAAAAATAACAAAGTAAACAGTAATGAAATAAATGTCACTACACTAGCTCAATCTGTTACGGAGGCTGGTAATGATTATATGAACGATGAGGAAGAATATGACCTTAATGCTTCTAGTAAGAATGATACCATAGATTATGATGCAGATAATACAACCAAAAATAAAGAAACCAACTCTACGACAACAACTGAATCCATAACAGAATCTGGTAATGATTATATGAATGAGGATGAAGAATATGATGGTAATGTTTCCGCTAAGAATGATACCATAGATTTTGATGCAAAAAACACAACAAAAAATAAAGAAACAAACTCTACAACAACGGCTGAATCTGTAACAGAATCTGGTAATGATTATATGAATGAGGATGAAGAATATGATGGTAATGCAAATGCTAATAATGATACCATAGATTATGATGCAGATAACACATCAAAAAGTAATTACACCATTACACCAACAGCTGAATCTGTAACAGAATCTGGTAATGATTACATGAATGATGATGATGAATATAATAGTGATATTTTTACTATTAATCATAGCTTAGAAACTGAAGGTGTTAAAACAACAAAAACAGAGGAAACAAGCACTACAACAAAAGCTGAATCTGTAGAAGCTGGTGTTGATTATATGAATGAGGATGAAGAATATGATGGTAATGCTTCTGCTAATAATGATGCAGATTACTTAACTACAACAGCTGAATCTGTGACAAAAGCTGGCAATTATTACATGAATGAAGATGAAGAATATTATGATGAATATTCTGCTTCTAGTAATGTCACAGAAACAAGAGATGATTTCAACCCAGAAGACCATGAAACAAACAAGGCAACAAGCTTTCAATCCATAAATGAGGCAGGCAATGATTATATGAATGAGGTTGAAGAAGAAAATACTTCTATTAGTAGCAACATTATAACAGCTGAAGTAGATTACAAGATAGAAGAAGACAATACAACAAGCAATCTATCCACTATTCAATCTGTAGAGGTAGCTGGCAATGACTACATGAATGATGATAAAGAATCAAAAGAAAAAGCTTCCACTTTGAGTGACATTATAACTGCTGAAGTAGATTACATGATAGAAGAAGACAATACAACAGGCAATCCATCCACTATTCAATCTATAGAGGGACCTGGCAATGACTACATGAATGATGATAAAGAATCAAAAGAAAAAGCTTCCACTTTGAGTGACATTATAACTGCTGAAGTAGATTACATGGTAGAAGAAGACAATACAACAGGCAATCCATCCACTATTCAATCTATAGAGGGACCTGGCAATGACTACATGAATGACGATAAAGAATCAAAAGAAAAAGCTTCCACTTTGAGTGACATTATAACTGCTGAAGTAGATTACATGATAGAAGAAGACAATACAACAGGCAATCCCTCCACTATTCAATCTATAAAGGGAGCTGGGAATGATTACATGAATGATGATAAAGAAGAATCAAAAGAAAAAGCTTCCACTTTGAGTGACATTATAACAGCTGAAGTAGATTACATGATAGAAGAAGACAATACAACTAGCAATCCATCCACTATTCAATCTGTAAAGGGAGCTGGGAATGACTACATGAATGATGATAAAGAAGAACCAAAAGAAAAAGCTTCCACAATGGGCAATGTTGTAACTGCTGAAGTTGATTACTTAACAGAAGCAGAAAATGATTCAGGAAATTCTGCTCCTTTTGAATCTCTTAAGGAAGGTGGCATTGAATTCTTGGATGAGGAAAGCTCTGTTAGTCGCACATTCTCTGATGACAATGAATTGAACTTTACAACTACAGATAACCCTAACAATAATAAAACTGAAGAGAACCACCCAGCAACTATCTCTCATTCTGACATAAACAACTTGGATCCAGGGCTTAATCATACTGATGACAACAAACAACCCCTTAAAACTAATTTGGAAAATAAAACAGAGTTAACTAAACAAAATCAGAAAACAGACTATTATGTGCACTTGAATATTTCAAGTAAAGCATCTCCTGAGCCAGGAAATGACTACAGCAATAACAACGAGAAGATAGAAAACTCTGAACTAACGGATACATCAGAATATGTAGCATATGCTGAATATGAAAATAACAAGACTCAAACAACAGAACAGTCCATCAAATCGGAAATTCCAACAACTGTAGGAAATATCCAAGAAAACAGTACTAAAGAGACTAGTAGTACGATCAAGAAACATGATTTAGAAACCATTACAAAACCTGAAAATAGCAAAACACAGAATTTAGATATAGAAAACAAGACAGTTAGTACAACTGTTAACAGTTTAGGAAAAGAAATCACTTCTAAAGCAATCAAAGATACAAAACTGTCAAACAAAGATGAGAAAACAAATGCAAATAACTCATCAAAAGACAAGCGTAACATCCAGGTTAAAACGATTGAAGCCAAAAAAGATAATTCTGTGCAAGATCTGAAAGGAGAAGCTGTAATGGTCAGGAAAGAGGATGAAAACTATTTAAACATGAATGTAGATCCTGTCAATAATGAAGATCTTTTGCGTTCAAACAAATTAATGTAAATATTACTTGGTTATTAATTCTACGTTTATTTTTTTGTTAAGCATTTTTAAAAAAACTAATCATGATTTTTCTCCGTTCTTAGAGGCTCTGAATCAGCAAAACAAAAGCCACCAACATTTACAGAAGTTATAGTAGAGAATGATAAACTAAGGTAGATGTAAACAAAGCAACTCTCCAACCCAACATAATACCTTTTTATTTCCTATGTTTGGATCATGGATATTTATTTTAGAAAAACTAATTGGAAGAGAGATAACTACACAAATGTTTTCTGAACTTAAATCTGAGGAAAAGAATCTGAAAAAACTCTACATAATCACTGAAGCATCTGGCAATTTTTACATAATAAGACTTTAAACATGACAAGAACAAAATAAACTGTTCTTACCGCAACTTTTATTTTATTTATTTTTATTGTAAAATATTGAGGTAATGTTTTCTTTGAAAATTATATTCCCAAAACCAAGACAACCTTAAATTTTAATTATTCTCACCTTTTATGTAAATAAATATTGAATTTAAACTTTTTTGGAGGCAAACATGTTTTAGAAGCAAATATTCCAATATTGTTTTAATGCAAAGCAACCAAATTTATAAATCATTACATCTTGGCTAAGATCTCTAAAGAACATAAAAAATTGTAATAACAGGAAATTTTTCCGATGGTACAAAATAAATAATTTTAAAAATCTTGAAGGAAAAACAAAGCTTGCGAGATTAAGCAATTAAATAAATATTAACAATCTGTTGGTGTCAAAAACAAATTAGAACTACCCACTAAATGGATCACACTTCACATTAAGTATTTTACAAATGGCAATGTTTTTTTTTCGTATAAATAATTTTGACAGGCCTATACACATTCTGTACATTATGAGTTTTCCTATAAAGCTTTGAATCATATTCTTGAATTATTGGAAAATAAATCTTAGTCAGACGAGCAGAAACAGTTTTCTTTAAAATAGTGTGAACTCGTGGAATGCCGTATTTTCAGAGTCTATCGACCGCGGTTATAGTGACACTTTCCTTACCATTTTAAGATTTAAACATAAATTCTGTAAAAGTTTGGTTACCAATTTATCGTTCTTGCTAACAAAGTGTACAAGCCCCCCCCCCCCCCCCCCCCTGTAAAAAAAAACCTTAAAAATCAATTTACTACATTAACCATCATTACTTTACTTCACCTTTTCGGGATTCTAGGAGTAATCCAAAAACTAAACTAATCTGAATTCAGATTTTTCGTCTCCCAAGATGACTGATTACTTAATCAGGTTGTTATGTAGTCTACATTATTATCTGTAATGTCTGACAACATACAATACAAAATATTTTTATTTACATATTATTTATTGAACGTCTTAAATGAAAATTATAGAAATCAAGCGATTATTAATTCAGTGCGGGGGTAAAACACTACCCAAAATATAAGTTAATTTTTGACAAATAGGTTGCATTATATAACGATATGCACGAACAACAAATTAACAGGTATTTTATATACAAAATATTTGAGAGATGTGCATCACAGAGAAACCGGTCAAGGAATCCTGAGATAAAACCGTCCCTGTTAATCCCAATCTTGAGAGGTTGAGTAGACAGAAAGGTCAAGCCAAGTCACTGTAATCTTTTCGTTATACCGCATTCTATATAAATCACTTGAATATATGCTAGAGCCAGTCCCAAGAAAATTTCTTATAAATCGAACATTAGAAATTGTCGACATCACTTAATATAAGGGCATAGCGAAGGCAAAAACAACTGAACGGCAGCCATTTTGAAATCAAGATGGCTGCCGTTTCACGGATTTCCAGGGAAAAATCATTTAAGATATTAGTCTAGTCCTCCGTCTCACTTGCAGATTCCGCTTCATCTTTCAAGAAGGCAAACTTGTTGGGGGCAATCAAATCCTGAAAAACGAATGAATTAAGAAATTGAAGTTTTCTTCTTTTAAGATGTGATAGATGTACACTGTACAGTGTACAAAGCGTATATTTTTGGGAAAACTCTTCGCTTTTGTTGCGTATCTATATGCAAGAAATAAGAATCATGCAACTTTTTAATAAAAAAATTGCCATATTTTCAAAGTTGTTTAAATAATTTCTAACCCACATTTTTGCATTTCTGATCCGTCATAAACTTGCCCTATGGTCATGGGAGAAACCAAAAAAGTTGAATATTTTTAGATACGACGTTTGGATATTAATTAAATACAAACAAACAGAAAAGCCAAATGTATTTAAAGATGTGGGAGTATTTATCTAAAATTTTACCGGAGCCTTCGGTTCCTCAAACTTTTTCATCGGTGGAATAACATCTTTTTCATCTCGACCATTTTCCCTGCGGTCATCTTTGCCCGCGGAGCCACCTCGTTCATCCCTAGGAAAATTGGAAGTTAACAAATGATCAAATATTATTGTCTGATCATTGATCAGTATATCTACCTGTCCCTGGAGTTATTACTATATCTTCGATCATTTCGACGATCGTCATGGCGATTATATCCACTGTTGACACGACGATCTTCTCTTCTATCATAACCTCGATCATCTCTGCGATCATATCCATAATCTTTCCTATAATTAATATGAAGAAACGTGAATATCTGGATTTGACCATGAATTCTACTTTAAGAGTTTAAATTATTATGACTTTTAAAATGAATGCATGCATTAACTGTAGATATGTACCTGTCATCTTTCTGATCATATCCACGATCGTCTCTCCGATCATATCCACGATCGTCTCTCCGATCATATCCACGATCGTCTCTCCGATCATATCCACGATCGTCTCTCTGATCATCTCTACGATCAGAACCACGATCATCTCTACGATCAGAACCACGATCAGAACCACGATCATCTCTACGATCAGAACCACGATCATCTCGGCTACCATAGCCGCGATCGTCTCTACTTCTGTAACCGCGGTCATCACGGTTTCCGTAACCACGATCCCGATCATCCCGACTTCCATATCCACGATCATCTCGACTTCCGTAACCCCGATCATCCCGACTGCTGTAGCCGCGATCCCGGTCATCTCTACGATCGTATCCTGAACGAGAACCTCCACGATCATCTCTTCTGTCATCTCGACGGTCCTCTCCTCTGAATTTATAACATTTTACCATTTTGAAAAATCGTTTTTAGTCCATCGCGAGAAAAAAAAAAACCTACTAAAGGCATTTTTTGTTAAAAAAAAACAAGATAAAATACTGAAGGGTAGTTAATTTTTTAAAATAGAAGAAAAATTAACAAAATATTTTTTATCTCTTACTTAAAAAATTATAATTGATGATCGACTTGAAAAACTTTTTTGACATCATCGATTGATGTAAATTAGTACATTTTCTTTCCAAAGAGAAAGGAGTAGCTATAAGAAATTATAGTGAGTTTGATCACTGATCAGCATTTAAATTATGAATCCTAACATTCTTTACAGGACGGATCAGGATCAGCTCCAGCTACATACCTATCCCTAGCTCCTGGAGGTCGATATGCAGCTGGCCGGTCAGAGTCTTCCTTTACATCCAGCTGACCGATCTTCTCCTCAATCTCTTTCTCCCTGCACAAACATCGTATTGTGAATGACATATCATAACTTAATTTTCATACAATAAATTTTATTGACTTTAATTTTTCTTATTTATGAAATGTTTTTGTTCTATGCTCAAAATGGATTGGATATAGCTGTCCATTAAATGTTTAATCCATCAAGTTTTCATCTATTATCTACATATGCTCAAAAAATACAAAAAAAATTAGAAGATCATCTCCAATAAAAATAGGAAAATCTGCAGAATTTTACATTAATATTATTAATTCAAAATGTGCAAAAATCAGCAAAAAATGGTTGACTAGAAAGATGGAACCAAGTAATAATAAGATCAGTTCTATGCCGAAAGACAGTATAATAAGTAGCTAACCAAATATGACATCGGTGGCATTAGTTCCAAACCGAATTTTAACCCATCAGGNGTACCCCAGACTGATGAGTCCACTTATGAAAATTACTTGACTAATTTATTATCACTTGAATTATGCAAGTATACATAGTTAGTCATACATAGTCGAATAGTTTACATAGTTAAAAAAGGAATCAATATTTTTTCAAAATAGATATTTTTAAGCGGGGGCACAACATTTTTCTTGCGATTCCCCCCCCCCTCTGCCCTATAAAAATGCTCTCGTACACCCCTGTAACCCATTTCTAACAAGGAGAGTTGGAAATGGGCACAAACAGAAGACTGGGTTCTTAATATCCAGTCTCGTATCAGATATAATGGCATCTAGCTAGAGGTATCTTAATATCCAGTCTCGTATCAGATATAATGGCATCTAGCTAGAGGTATCTTAAAAGAACTGTAAGCGTAATTTCAAGCTAGCCTCTATGCAAAGATTCTTAACGATACCCTTACAAGCTTTATCCGATCAAATATGAACTAGACATTTATGTTTATATTTTTGAAAACTTATTTTTACGATTGTGGTATACTAAAGTGACTTGTGCAATTAAACTACAGAAAACAGTCGAGTTTTTATGAAATTACACGTTAAACTCTGGAAAAACGACAATATTTTCAGTATTATTAATCTGATGAAGGGTTCATGGATACCGCTGTAAATAGGGCATTACCATCGTTGTATGGAGAGTCCCTTGAAATTACGCTTACAGTCCCCTTGAACGTTAATGTCAATGGATTCTGTTACCAGTTAGCTTAATCAAAGTCTAAAAATGACCTCTTCAGTGGATTACCTTTGAGCAGTATCTACTGGTTTAGCACTGCCGAAAATGTTTGCTGCTTTCCTTGGTTCTGGTGCTGGTCTGGGAAAATGAAATAATAAGTTTTCGCTAATCTTGTTGAAAAATTAGAAAAAAATCCATTTTGTATGAAGAAAACATTTTTGATAAGACAACTAAATATTTTTAACTTAAAAAAATAGTTTTGACCTAAAGTATTGCCGAAAGATAGAAGAATATTTTTAAAAAAATAAAATATAAAATAAAAATATTTCACAAAAATAAAAAAAATGATAAATTTAAAAAATTCTCTTTTTTTAGTCAAAAAATTAACATAAAAATTTAAATAATTTCTTTGAAAGTTAAACATTTGTACTTTTGTTGAAAATATATGTTAAATACATGTTTTAAAAATATTATTTCAGCCATAACCTAAAAATTACTGAAGTTGCACAGCATCCAGAAAGAACAAACACTAGGCTGAGAGAATATCAGAAAAATGAAGACACCATTAAAAAATTGATTTTCTTCATTATTCCTGGGGGGGGGGGGAAGCATTACAGTTAAACTATGCAAGGTGGGGAAACCAATTTTATTATAAGCCATTTTTAAGAAAATAAAAATAATTTATTTAGAAAATATAAATAAACAAAAATATTTTGGAAAAAAATGTATTTTATAGTTTATAAATCATAACAATTTAAATGCTTAACTCCACTAGATTTTTGAACTGAAGTTATGTTATAATAATATTATATAAAATATAAAATATGAAAACAAAAAATATTTTTTTAGTATACTGAAGAGTGAAGATTTTTAATATCACAATTTCCTTGCCAAACATCATGGAAACTATACATTATAAACGTCAAAAAGGCTGAACCGATCGGGCCAACATTTTGTGTGGGACCTCACGTGGCCTGCAGAGATGGTCTATGAATGAAAAAAATTTCAAAAATTTGCCTTAATCAAAATTAAATTTTCATAAAATTCTTGAAAATTTTGAAAATCTACGAAATTTATTTATCTAAAATCCGCAAACTTTTTTTGTTTTGTTTTACAATGTGCACAAAGAGAACATATTCACAATTAAAATAGAAGATGGGCGCGAAGCCTGCAGGGGTGGTCTATAAATGATAAAATTTGCCTTCATCAAAATTCAATCTTAAATGTACATAGTACAACTATACTAATGGTAACATTAAACAAATCAGAATTTTGTAAAATTTGTATTGCAAAGGGTACTAATGTATCTTAATTGTATACTATGTATCCTCTTGACTAAAATGGACTTATAGAATGTCGTCTTCTAAATATATTCGAGCTGGTGTTTGTTCAGTCTGGATGATGTGGTTGTTTAACATTATGTTGTACAGTACTGCACAGTTAAAATATAATTGATATTAGTATAGGGTGTAAGGCTTAAAAAAGAAAAAAGGTTGTAAAATCATCAACTTCCATTCTAAATGTTCTCGGACACGCGTCCAAGTATGATTGTTTGATGCAGATTCCTGTTAGGCAAATAGTTTGATGCAGATTTTGAGATTTCTGGATTTCTAACTTCCCGTTTTTTTGGCCGTGAGAGCCTCGGGGGCAATTACTCATAAAACTTTAACGATTAATTTTTTCGTCTTCTTATTTTTGAATGTAGAACAAGATTTTGAAAGAAAATGTAAAAAAAATTTTTTAGCTGAAATAAAAATTAAGAGGATTAAAAGTTTAAAATCTTTCCCGCACAAAAATTAAGAACATTAGGAACGAATTGTTGTTTTTAAACCAAATCCTAAATTTAAGAACTATGTATATAACAGGATACATTTATTTGAACAGAACATGATCAACTCAGCCGTAATACATTAAGTACAAACAAAGTGGCGTTACTTTTAATCAGTACTTAGGATCCGCAAAAATATGCTGATCCACGGATCCGGATCCAAGGGGCAAAATATCATCCAAAATCAATAAAAACAAACTTTTTACTCCCATAACATATATCTGAACTGTTAAAAAAATGATTAAAAATTTCCTTATTTTGAATGGAACATTAGGAACGAATTGTTGTTTTTAAACCAAATCCTAAATTTAAGAACTATGTATATAACAGGATACATTTATTTGAACAGAACATGATCAACTCAGCCGTAATACATTAAGTACAAACAAAGTGGCGTTACTTTTAATCAGTACTTGGGATCCGCAAAAATATGCTGATCCACGGATCCGGATCCAAGGGGCAAAATATCAACCAAAATCAATAAAAACAAACTTTTTACTCCCATAACATATATCTGAACTGTTAAAAAAATGATTAAAAATTTCCTTATTTCTGAATGGTTCTTGTTTTAGCATAAATTTATTTCGAAAATCATTTAAAAATTCTTCTTTTGTTAAAAAAAATCTATAAATCTTGAATTATTTATGAAATTAATCTGGATCCATTTTCAGGGTGCATCCAGGATCCGGATTTGAACCAAAATGAAATGGATCCTAAGCACTGCTTTTAATATATCTCAATCTGACGCCAAAAAAAATTCCCCCCATAACATTCCAGTGCAGACCCAAAGACCTTTCGTACGTTACATCAATGACTGGTAAGTCAAGTTAAGATCTTTACCTTTGGTTTTGTGCGAGGAGCGAGGTTAAGCTTTGGTCTCTCTTTCGGCTGCTCTGGACTTCTCCTCCGGTCACCGTAACGGTCATCACGACCTCCATCACGGCTTCCGAATCCAAAGCTACGGCCTCCTCCACGATCATCTAGAATATTTAATATTTTTCAAAAAAATTCAGTTTTATTTCTTCTTTTACCAAATTTGTTATGTCCCAATATGTTTAAATTAGTTTGATACCACTTATTTACATTTAGATGTGCTTATGGCTTAAATGGACTGTAAGTGTAATTTCAAGTGACCCTCGGTGCAAAGATGGCAATACCCGATTTACAACAGTAAATTTAAACGTTAATCTGTAGAAAAATTTAGGGAACTAGCCTTAGAGGGCGCTTCGCGCCCATCTTCTAAATTAATTGTGAACATGTTCTCTTTGTGTACATCGTAAAACAAAACAAAAATAATTCGAGGATTTTCACAAAAAATTTCGTGGATTTTCAAAATTTTAAAAAATTTAATGAAGATCAAATTTTGATGGAGACAAATATTTAAAATTTTGATCATTCATAAACCTTCCCTGTGGTCACGTGATGTCCCACAAAAAAATTTGGGCCCGATCGGTTCAGCCGTTTTGACGTTTATTGGATACAAACAGACAAACAAACAAACAAACAAACAGAAATTTATATATAGATAACGTCGATTTTCTGACTCGGAAAATTGTTTATTTAACAAAAATATTTCAGACAAAGCTTTCAAGGGTACTGTTGTAAACTGGCATTGCAATATTTGCAAGAAGGTTCACTTGAAATTACGCTTACAGTCCTTTTCAAGATACCTCCAGACGCCGTTATTTTGTAGAAAAGTGATCAACGTTCTTAGTATTAAAGTATAGGTGTAAAATACTTGAGAGCTGGGGGTGTCGAATTGATCTATTGTTTACCATCAGAATCGTCAAAGTAGGTTTTAAGTTTTGGATAGCATATAATAATACAAGAGATTTTTATTTTTTATTTCGCTGATTTTTTTGTTTAAATTGGTGGAATAAAAAAAAACACATAAAAGCTAACTTTTTTGGGGGCAAAATTATTAAATTGGACCCGATCTTTGGACCTCAACAAGATTTTGCTTAATTAATTCATTATTAAAATCAGATTTTTAGTATTCCAGCGAAAGGAAAATGCATTTTCAACAGAGGGAATTCTCTTTCCACAAAATATTTAGTATCTACCCCTGTAGAGTAGTAGAAATACTGCTTCTATATGAAAGGAAACCAGGGGTATTTTTTTGACAAATCAAGCCCCCCCCCCAGAAAATGACTCTTTATCCAAGAAGTTTGCAAGGGGAATGAAAAAGGAAAATATACCCTCTAAGAAAAATGAGTGTGAAATTGTTGCAAACAAAAGTTAGTAAACATACTGCTACAACAGAAAAGTTTGGTTACCTCTGTCATTTCTATCTCTGCTGAATCCTCCGAATCCTCCTCTTTCCCTGGCTGGCTCATATCTATCAAACCCTCGACCTCCACCGTCATTATCTCGGCCTCTAAATATATCAGGGGTTTAACAATTTCTAATTAAACTCTCGACCTCCACTATCATTATTCCGGCCTCTAAATATATCAGGGGTTTAACAATATCTATCAAACTCTGGTCTTTTTTTTTGCCCTTTGATACTTTTTATCTAAGCACATCACCGGACCCCATTTACATAATTTTTTCCCCTAATTCAGCGGCGAACCCTTAGAAACTTACACCTAAAATACTGCGGAACAAAAATGATCTTAAGAAAATAGCAGTGCTTAGGATCCATTTAATTTTGATGGGGATCCGGATCCTGGATCCGCAGTGGAAAAAAATATATCCGGATCCAGGTCATGATGAACCATTCAGAAATAAGGAAATTTTTATAATCTCTCTTTTTTCAAAAGTTCAGATTTGAGTTTCAGGATTAAAAAAGTTTTTTTTGAAGTTTTTGTTTGATTTTAATTCCAGCCCTTTATTAACAGACGAGTAAATTAATGGCTAAGATTGGGCCAAGGTGACTAAAACACTGAATATTATATCAGTAGTATATATATCTTGCAGAATTAACCCACCCACCCTAAAAAAAAGATTTTTATACTCTTCATCTTTGATACTTATTTCCAAAAAAAATCATATATTTTCCACGAAAATTCCTATCATATCAGATTAGTATTTACCTCTGTGTGATGTCCTACTTGTCCCTCTACCTGTCTGACTTCCTGGCCAAGTTGTCCTACCTGTCCCTATCCCTGTCTGACTTCCTGACCAAGTTGTCCTACCTGTCCTTATCCCTGTCTGACTTCCTGACCAAGTTGTCCTACCTGTCCCTATCCCTGTCTGACTTCCTGACCAAGTTGTCCTACCTGTCCCTCTACCTGTCTAACTTCCTGACCAAGTTGTCCTACTTGTCCCTCTACCTGTCTGACTTCCTGACCAAGTTGTCCTACCTGTCCCTCTACCTATCTAACTTCCTGACCAAGTTGTCCTACTTGTCCCTCTACCTGTCTGACTTCCTGACCAAGTTGTCCTACCTGTCCCTCTACCTATCTAACTTCCTGACCAAGTTGTCCTACTTGTCCCTCTACCTGTCTGACTCCCTAGGTGGTGGGGGTGGTCCTCGTCTCCAATCATCTGATTGATCTACCTGTCCCTATCCCTGTCTGACTTCCTGACCAAGTTGTCCTACCTGTCCCTATCCCTGTCTGACTTCCTGACCAAGTTGTCCTACCTGTCCCTCTACCTGTCTGACTTCCTGACCAAGTTGTCCTACCTGTCCCTCTCCATGTCTGACTTCCTGGCCAAGTAGTCCTTCCTGTACCTATCCCTGTCTGACTTCCTGACCAAGTTGTCCTACCTGTTCCTATCCCTGTCTGACTTCCTGACCAAGTTGTCCTACTTGTCACTCTACCTGTCTGACTTCCTGACCAAGTTGGCCTACCTGTCCCTCTACCTGTCTGAATTCCTGACCAAGTTGTCCTACCTGTCCCTCTACCTGTCTGACTTCCTGACCAAGTTGTCCTACCTGTCCATATCCCTGTCTGACTTCCTGACCAAGTTGTCCAACCTGTCCCTATCCCTGTCTGACTTCCTGACCAAGTTGTTCTACCTGTCCCTCTCCCTGTCTGACTTCCTGACCAAGTTGTCCTACCTGTCCCTATCCCTGTCTGACTCCCTAGGTGGTGGGGGTGGTCCTCGTCTCCAATCATCTGATTGATCTGATCGTCCTGCATCAGGATCCTCCTCACGGGGTCCACGATCATTCCTACAAATGATTAGTATTTTCTTAGGCTGAACAACGGCAAACTTCAGAAACATCAGGATAAATTATCTAAACGCGGAAATTCTATTTTGTACTTTTTTCTCGAAAAACTAAATAGAGCCAAATATGTGTTAAAATTAATAATATACCAAGATATGATACCGTCCTTCACATTTCAATTTTAATGGCGACAGTCTACTGAACTAAAGCATTGAAATTAAATCTGCTGATGGGCCGTGAAAACATTTTTGGCACTCCGCAAACCATATTTAACTTCTGGGGAAAATAAATGATTTTCTAAAATGTGGGGGGGGGGAGATTATTTGGGAAAATATAGACCCCTGTAAACTTTTCTACAAAAAATTCGAGAAGGTCCGAGTCTCTGAACCTGAGCTCAATCCCAGTTTTATTCACATTTTACCTATCTCCGAATCCTCCCCCTCTTCTCTCTCCCTCCTTGCCAGCTCCGGACGCCAAATCTATTCTCATCTTCCTAAACATTTTTAATCATGAGAATAAAGAAATCTTCAGTTAAAATCGTTGTAATTTATAATAAAGTGTTCAATTCACTTAGGTTTTTAACTTAATTTTTTATGTATATTTAAATATGGGCTTTATCCAAAAAGTTTTGCAATTTTCGTTTCGCACCTTATTTGCTAAACAACTGGGTTTCGCAATATAATGTGTATTAGCAAATTTACATTTTTTTTCAGATTATTGAAGGGCTTTCAAAAATTTTAAGAAATTTTATTTATTACAGAGACCCCTTTTATGGGTAAATTATACGTCAGTAGGAATAAGGTTAATTTTCGAATTTTTTTTTTAACCGAATCCCGTTCCGTTTCGACTTTTGACATTTAAAACTGTTGAAGTTTGAAATGTAGACATTAAAAAAAAATAAGGATTAAAAAATTTAGTTATTGTTAAATTTTTTTGTTATAAATGTGTTGGAAAAAGCTGTTAATCCTTCTCTTAGGGCCAATGACTCAGTACAGAAATTTAACACCAATTATAAAAGTTAAGTGTGTAGTAAAACCCTGCTTTATTTATCTTCTCATGTATTCTGTGTAGAGACCAGCAAATTCCAAAAAAAAAAACAATATTAAAAGCGTATGATTTTTCGAGTTGGAATACAATAACTTTTTATCATATGGCGGGTTACTTATTTTCTTACGTATTTTGTTACCAACTTAAAAATATTAAAAAAAAACAATTTTCAAATAGTTTCTATTAAATTGGGGTGTTTGAGGAATACTATTAGTTGAGATTAAAGTTTTGAAAAATTCTTTTAAAACTTCAGTTAATTTCCATTTCTCGTTCGCATCAAAATATATAAATATATATAAAAAAGTCCTGTATTGTAATATCAACGAGTGCAAATGATCTATCCTTTCCTTTGAGACTTACCGATTCTTTAACAGAAGAAAAATTTTCAAATTTTTTTTCTTTTTTTAGTCGTTGATTATTTGCTAAACATTAAATTTTGATAATCCCCCTTATTATCAACAATTCGATTTAGAGCTTGAGAGCATAAGATTTTTGTTTGCAGTTTTTGGTTGATATTTTGTCCCTTGAATCCCGATCCGTGGATTTGCATATTTTAGCGGATCCGCGTCCAGGAAACTAAAGTGTTGCGGATCCAACGGATCCGGATCCTGACCCTAAGCACTGGTATTAAGCAAAAAAAAAAACCTGCCTGTTATTGACACAAGCATCTGTTAAACTGAGAGCATCAATCAGAGAATCTCTATCCTCGAAATCAGCATATCCAAACCCTTTCAGTCGTCCTCCCTCGTCCTTCATCAATCGGACAGACAGAATCTAGAAATCATCATTGTCATCATTATTATCATCATCATTATCATCTTTATCGTCATTATCATCAAATTCATCAATATCATCAATATAATTAATACAATTAATACCATCATAATCATCATTATCGCCATTATCATCAATATCATTAATAATTAATACCATCATAATCATCATTATCGTCATTATCATCATAATCATCATAATCATCATAATCATCATTATCATCATTATCATCATTATCATCATTATCATCATTATCATCATTATTATCATTATTATCATTATTTTCATTATTTTCATTATCATTATTTTCATCATCATCATTATCATCATTAACATCATTATTTTCATTATCATCATAATTATCAATATCATTATTATCATCAATATTATCAAAACTAAAGTATGGAACGTTAGTTAAAACCCTGGATTACGGTCCGTTGTTAACACTGAGTGTTCTGAATAGGCACAAATTGATTAGAGATTTTAGGATCGCGTTCCATGTCAAAACAAATGTATAGGAAAAAATAGAAAAAAATATTTTTAAAAAGACGAGAGGCAGCCATAAAAAACGTAAAATTTTCATTTGATTTTTTTTAATGTCGATTTCGGCATTTTTAAAGGAAAGTGACAATATTTTGTCAGGATATAAAAATATTTAAATTCGTGTGTTCTAACTCCTTACATTCTTATTGCAATGGCAGTTAATAAAAATATGTGAATGAAATATTATCCAAAATTAAATAATTCGTGGTTTTGTTATTATTTTTTATCTTTTTAATTAGATAAGCAATTTGCACATGAATTGATGAGGTGAACAAACGGGAAAATACAATAATTATTTTTAAAATTTTAAGTAACCCGACTCACCAGCACCCCCATTAGATAATGAGATGTGAGCCTCAGTGTAGAGAGCCTTATTCAAAAATTGAGAAAAGTACAAGAATGTAAAATATTTTGATGTAGAAAAGGACACAACATGATTTCAAATAAGCTGAAGATATATATAATATTCTAGCTGGAGTGAATGGCGTTGCCCGTGGAGTAAAAAATTTAAAAATGTAGAATTTCGTTTATCCTGTTACCGCCGAGATACTTGAAGATACCCCTGAATTCCTTCAAAAAATGTCCGACCATTCGTTTAGCCATTATGCCGGCGCGGCTGTAGGGAACATATATACGAATGTCATGTTTATTATATATATACAATATAAATGATATATCGAATATAATGAATGCAATAACCTTGAGTTTGCATTTAACGAAGACATCTCGGACTTGTTCTTCGTCCACGTCGTAGGGCAGGTTGGCCACGTACGCCGTGTAAGGCGGGGAACGAGGAATCTGCGAATCATCAATATCAGGCCCAAGCGCTGCACGAGGTGCAGTTGGTAATACAACCTAGTAATATAAATATTGAAGAAGGGGGTATATGATGACTTTAAATATTAATTCCCCTTCCTACATTATAATTAATTTATTCCCCAAGTATGTTAAGAATAATTGGCTGTTTTTAAAAGCTATTCTTCGCTAAATTAGGCATAACAATCAAGTCATTAAGAACAGTGCTTAGGATCCATTTAATTTTGATGCGGATCCGGATCCGGATCCTGGATCCGCTTTTCAAAAAAACGGATCCGGATTCGGATCCGGATCCGGATCCAGGTCATTGATCAAAAAAAAATTTTATTTTAGTTCAAATGTCTTTTCATACCTAAAAAAAATGTTAAACATTTTAACATTTTTTTATACTATTTTTCTATTAGTTTGCACAAAATGATAATGATTTTTTTTACTTTATTGGATGAAAAAAAAACAGGTCTAATTCATATTAGCTTTTAGTAGAAGGAGGGCGTTTGGAATATCTGCCTTCAGGCAACTCCTTAGGTCTGATTTGAATATCTTCAGGGCAGAGAACAGTCTCTTTATACTGGGAACACAAGATGTTCCTTATCATCTGTATCTTTTTAGCATATGTGCGCCCCATCCCTTTTCCCCCTCACTCTTACACATCTATACACCTTAATTTGTGAAGACTAAATTTGCTTAGTTGCAATGGGGAAAAGGGAGACTTCTCCCCCCCCCCTCTCTAGTTATTAAAGGGGGTGGGGGGAGGGGTGCACGGTGGAGGTCTGAGTTAAGATTTGAGCAAGATAGAAACCTGAGACCCTGAGAACATTTTTAAAATCTGTTAAACAATTCAAAATAGGATATTTTTAAGGAAAATTAACGCTGTTTTGCACATTTTAAAAATTATAATTGTGCTTGGATCCGGATCCGTGAATCCGCATTTTTTTGCGGATCCGGATCCGGATCCAAAGAGCCAAAATAATGCGGATCCAGCGGATCCGGATCCTAAGCACTGATTAAGAAATTAAATTCCTCTTGAGATCATAAAAAATTAAAACATTTTTCAGAGCTGAGAAATTTTGTGTTGGATAGTAATAATCCCGATCGCATGATCTCGATATCCCCAGTGAGCACTTTTAATTCCGAGGATAAACTATTAATCTTATCATTTATACCTTTACGAACACTTTCATTGCGGAGGATATCAAGTAAGATTAAGTTAATCAGAGCTGAAAACTTTAGAATGAAATATCCAGATATCCCGTCGGATAATTAATCTGAAGATTAAAGTCATGAGGTAAACAAGCAATATTTAATTCCGAGATTAAGAAAGAATGGATTAAGCCTTTATCCTGATATCCACCATTCTAATGTTTTCAGCTCTGGAGATAAACACAAGGCCAAGATCAAGCATTAATCTCGATATCCACAATACAAAAGTTCCCGGCTCAGGTTGTTTACTATTCAAAATAAAGTAGAAAAAATAGGTAACAGATTAGGCAGAGAAACATTGAGACGTCCAACAAATGAACGAGGCCTTGGCCCCTCAAGATTTCAAAGGAGGAGGTAATACACCCCTGAACCCGATTTGAGGATATAAAGGGCCACTGTTAGATGGCGGGAAAATAAAACGGAACCAACCGTATTTGAATTTTCTCTGAAAAATGTGACTTTCTACAAATTTGATTATTAAAATTCTAAAACTGTTCCTTCCAGAAATTTATATTGAATGGTGTAATGTTATGATTTGCAAATAAACCGGTTTAGTGAAAGGTTAAAGTTCGACGTGTCTAAATTAAAACTAAATAATATATATATATATTATATATATATATATATATACCTGTTGTTTAACTCTATCTGAAGGATAAACCTCGTAATCATCATCCATCTCATCTGCCCAGGTGCTCGCTATTGCTACAGTTGTTGTCGCACCTGACCCCGGGGCCTTGTAGGCACCTCCCCCCTCCCCACCCAGGAACTCGGTCAGGTTTAGGGTCTTCCCCTTCTTTTTCCCTTGTTTCTTCCCTAAATAGATTAAAATAACTTCTAGTTTGCAAGATGGCTTAGTAATACAGAGTTAATTGGTTATTTGGGTCTTTCCTAGAGACCGATTTTTGGACACCCCCCTCCCCCCATTCTATACATGGCCACTTTTATTCAGAAAAATTATTCTTTATTTCTATTATTTTAGGGTTAGGTTAGATTGAGACAATTTCAGGGTCTGTCCTAGTGAACGATTTTTGTACCCCCCCCCCCCCCTATCAATTTTGTACATGGGTCTGACA